TGAACAGCCAGTATTTCAAACTTTGTTTTTTCAACTTCCTCAAATTTTTCCAAATCATCAACAACTGCCGCTAATGATTTGGTATCTACAACCAAAGGAGTTCGTTGAACAGAAGGTTCCTCTCTGACTGATGTTGCTGGTACTGGGGCTCTTCCGCCGCGTCTTGGCTTAGAAATCTTCTTCTTTCCACCTCTAGTCCCTTCAAAAATTATATCAGATAATGCATTGGCCACTATTTCCTTGCTTCGCCATGCAATATACTTAGCTAAAACGCCCAAAAAGACAGCTCCAGCCACGGCATGTGAACAGATTTTCACGTTGTTGTATACAGGACAGTCATTACAAACGACTCGACCCTTACTAGTAGTAGTAACTAAATGAGGCTTACCAAATGAGTCGAGTGAATGTCTTTGATCTATTATTGTCGGCGGAGATAAAGCCAAAAAACATCGGATCTCACGCTTCAATATTCTTTGATGGGTTGTAATTAATTTTGGAGAGAAGTAACCTTTTGGAACATCAAAAACATTACATGCAATTATTTAATTCACAAAATATATGAAAAGGACATCACTCACATTCATAGACGAAAATGAAAAAAAAAAATCCGTTCCTTAAAATACAGAATTTGTTCCGTTTCGTTGTGTTTCGTTTCTCAAATTACATGTTTCGTTTCGTTTCGCCGTGTTTCGTTTCGTTTCGCTTTGTTTCGTTTCGTTTCGCTCTGTTTCGTTTCTGTTCCGTTTCTCACTTTACCGGGACCCTCTTTATTTAGATTTAATAGAGTATTCGTATTCCAGTACAAAGCAAGGAATATGGATATGTATCTAACAAGTTATTGTTCTGGATATACATGTAATATTTGCTTTTAGACATTAAACACCAACCAATTAATCAATAAATCATTCCCTAATGAATATTTACATCTGCTAAAGGACTCCACAATCGTACCACTGGGTCTATTCCACTGGTGGATAACAAGCAATGACTTGGCTGTGGCTGTAGACAATTTACTATAGAGTCGTCTCCCTTTAATAACCGTACAATATGTTTAGTATTCTTCTCCCATATAAAGAAAGAACCGTCGTCAGATCCAGCTATATATACTGACCATTGTTGCAACAATTAAGATGATATACTGTAAATTTAATAAATAGTATTTCTGTTTGTATTTGTGCTTATTTTTTTTTTCTGTAATATTAAGAAAGAGCTAGGGGTGTATTTAATTTTGCTGTAAGCTATAAATTCTTCAGCTCTTGACTGAAGTTCACAAGATGTAGATCACCAACAAGCCCTTATATTATCATTATGTATATATCTATATTTATATTTTATTGTCAATATATCTTCCAATAATCTCAAGCACAATCATTCATATTCTCTTTCTCCTTGGCTACACAATTACCCCAATTCCTTTGACAGTTCCAAGACTGAATAATAATTCCAATCATGATCCACTAAGTCCTTCAGCAGATGTTACCTCAACAAATTACCAAGACTTACCCAAATAAAGAAAATTACCAGATTTGACAGTATCTACGTTAATAACTGCAATCACATCTTTCTTATATAAATTCAATCAATTTTAACTTCCAAAATAGTTGTCCACTTTTACATCTATTGTTGCATTGCAATGCCCACAGAACCTTGACTCGTGGTCAAACGTTGCTTCCGCCATGACCTCTCCTGGTCAGATGTTGGGAAGAACTTCTTTCTCATAGCAGCTTGCGGATCTACAGTATTATCAGGGTCTTTCTCGTCTATTAATAAAAAAAAATATTAATTTTATCTTATAAAAGTATTATGTTATGAACATAACTAAAGAATAATAGTTAGAATATTATATTTGGTGTTTCTTTTCATAAAATTAACAATATCTTGGGAAGAATAACAATGACATTCTTCAATGACCAGCTTTATCGTTAGATCAACCACCCAGTGATCATTTATAGGATGAACTTGACAAATGTTCGCAGACGTCATCAGCCATCAGAGTCAGTCAATCAGCTACGAGTCGCTTGAATAGTGGAATAAAATTCCACAAACCTTTGTTCAATGCTCAATCGGGTCAATGCTTTGTAGATTGAGTGCTGTCATGAACGCAAGATGTGGTCATGCGCGTTATCAACTCTTCAACTCTTAGTTCCGACATCGACATTTTTAAAACAGTCTGTGCAATAAGCAAAATCAATTGTTATCTGTTTTCTTTGTTAAGTTTGTATGATTTTATGTTATTGTTCAATAAATACAAAACTAAAATAACATTGTTAAAATAAAATAAATATTTTTGATAAAATCTGGGTATCGTTTCTTTTTGTAAGACTCTGAACTGCGATGGTACTCCGAACCGCGATATTTACGCTGATGTTCGATGGTTTGATGATTAAGTGCGTGTTTGATCACGCCGAAGTCCGATGGTGTCATTGTGACGCGATCTTGTTGATAGCTACGCCGAAGTGCGATGGTGGTAAGGCTGGAGTGCGATGGTGGTATCTCTGAAGTGCGATGGTGGTATCGCTGAAGTGCAAAGAACTACATACACTATACTTTCAATGCTTTGCATGTCGATTTAGAGGTCGCTTTGTTTGTTAGAAGCAGGTTTTTTCGGATGTTTTTTTTTAATAAGGGGTTTATAAACTTTTTAACTTTTACGGGAAACAAGGAGTAATTAGTGGAGAGAAAAAAGTAAACCTTCTGTAGCAGATATTTTTCTGTATGCAGAACGTATTTTTATATTTTTATGGAGCGTGTCATTCTCTAATTACATGCAGATACGCAGCCAGAATCTCCGTATCATAATATTACGGTAAATGTGGAACTCATGAGAAAAACCAAGTAAACTTAAATTGTAAACACAGAATTAGGTTCACATGAAAAAAATCAAAGAGAACGATCTCTCATTTATAAAAAAGAAGATGTGGTATGATTGCCAATGAGACAACTCTCCACAAGAGACCAAATAACACAGAAATTAACAACTATAGGTCACCGTACGGCCTTCAACAATGAGCAAAGCCCATACCGCACAGTAAGCTATAAAAGGCCCCGAAATGACAATGTAAAACAATTCAAACGAGAAAACTTATTTTATGTACAAAAAATGAACGAAAAACAAATATGTAACGCATAAACAAACGACAACCACTGAATTACAGGCTCCTGACTTGGGACATACACATACATACAGAATGTGGCGGGGTTAAACATGTTAGAGGGATCCCAACCCTCCCCTAACCTAGGACAGTGGTGTAACAGTACAACATAATAACGAACAATAAAAATCAGTTGAAAGAGGCTTAACTCATCAGATGGATAAAAATACAAATACTACAAACAAGAGTTCATTTAGTATGAAACTGTAACTAAGGGCAAATTTATATACTAACCTTAAACAAAATCTACTTTTCATGATAATTCAACATCTGTATATTTTCAACTCGACATCAACTGTAATATAGACCATCGCACATCAGCAAAAGGACCATCGAACTTCGACTTAGATCATCGCACTTCAGCGTGACCATCGCACTTCAGCATCCCCATATCGCACCTCCAAGTCCTACATATATATGAAAAATCTGTTCAAATCATATTAAACATAATTCAGAACTAGTGGTACAAAAACAACATATACATTGAATATGTATGTTACAAATCATATAGATACTAGTAATATATACTTAAAGGGAGTAAACCCTTACACATGCAAACTATCTTTTGTTTACTATGGGGATTTTTTATTTATACCCTTCATTTAGACAGCCATGTTTCCTTCTGATAAGCATTGAAGAGCATTAAGTCTCCAATTGCAATTTAAAAAAAGTTGTTGATTGGAATATGTCATTAAATGTGCAGGAACTACTGACACGATCAGAGTTTTTATTCTAGTGAGACTCATGTTGCTCAATCTATAGTTTTCTGTGCAGTGTTTTGTGAAATGTTGTTAGTCTATTTTCTTTTTACCATGGAGTTGACTGTCTTTCTTCTACTTATAGTTACCTTAGCTGTATTTGGCAAACCTTTTCGGAAATTTTGATCCTCAATGCTCTTCAACTTCGTACTTTATTTGGCCTTTTTAACTTTTTTAAATTGAGCGTCACTGTCTGATGAGTCTTTTGAAGACGAAACGCGCGTCTGGCGCAGATAGAAAATTTCAATTCTGATATCTATGATGAGTTTATTTTATAGTCATCTAAGTACCTTCTCAACTTTTTTAATTAAGTAATTCCTTTTCTGCCTCTTCCATTTTTTCTAACTAATAAAATAGTATTTCTCCGAATTTACCGCTACCCGAGATCGTCCCCCCCCCCCCCCCCCGTTTTTGGCGGGGCTTTTTTTCCATCTTTGCCATGGCGTTGTCAGTTTATTTTTGTCTTATGAGTTTAAATGTCCCTTTGGTATCGTTCGCCCCTCTTTTGCAGATACATCACAAAAGTCTACCTGACACACAATGTATCATTGTATTTGAAAGAGTCTTTACCTCAAAAATTCAAATGGAGATAAATGCAATACAATAATAAAATGAATAATATGATGTAATGTATTTTCATATGAAGAGGATTCGAATAAGCAGACTGGTGACTATTGAAGATAAAATGTAATATACAATATATGAGTTAAGCTGACTTATCGGCTTTTCAGAGTGAAATCTAAAATCATAACATACATGTATATGGTGGTCATGTCTTAAAAAGGTATTTCCAGCAGCGATATGCATGTACGTTATACATTGTGATTTTACTTTTAACAAAACTAATCGTAAGTATCGGACCTCTCGTATTAATGAATTATGACGATAGAACATATTTCACTTTCCCGTTTGGGACGTCCTTACATACATTCATGTTATTAATTCGATACTCAGATAAACGATAAACTCACTATGATTTTTGTTATTGTTTACTTTATTCATTTCGTTTAAATTGGCTTTTTGTGTTCGCCTTTTTTGTCTTTTTATTTTTTTTTCTCGGTAGTGTGAACTTTCGATATTTCACATTAAAAGGAAAAGGAAATCTGATGAAGCGAAGAAATCTAAGGAAACGAAGAAATTTGAGGAAATGGAGAAATCCGAGGAAATGAAGAAATCTGAGGAAATAAAGAAATCTGTGGAACTGTATCTTCAGGCGATCAAGAACACTATAAAGAGACTGGAAAAAATGGAAGAAGCCAACCAGCCTTCGAAAGGAACGAAAAAACGTAAATAGTTCTATAGAAAATAAGACATTACCTGATTTGTGGTTTAGTAGTAGGAATGTATACTTAATTGTTTGCTATTCAAAGTAAAAGAGCACTTTACTTTCTGTGATACGCACAACGCATTTCCGTTAATGTATGGTTCTTATAAACCAAAGGTGATTATGTTTAATATACAACCATATACACACATGAGACATATGTAATGTTATTTTCTTTACAAAGAATTTGCAGTTCTAAGAAGCAACTTTGTCACAGGTGGTGTTTTTGTCTATTTTGTTTTAGGGTAAATTTGAAAAGTTATACTTAAAATATGTTTAAGAAAGAGGGACGAAAGATACCAGAGGGACAGTCAAACTCATAGATCGAAAACAAACTGACAATGCCATGGCCAAAAATAAAAAGACAAACAGACAAATAATAGTACAGATGACACAACATAGAAAACTAAAGACTAAGCAACACGAACCCCACCAAAAACTGGGGGTGATCTCAGGTGCTCGGAAGGGTAAGCAGATCCTGCTCCACATGTGGCACCCGTCGTGTTGCTTATGTTATTACAAATCCGGTAAATAGTCTAATTCGGTAAGTCACATTCGTGAAAAGGGAAGGGTATTGTACGACATTAGGAACATATCCGATATCATTTGTGAAACGGTTATTCCATAACGGTCAACCAACTCGTGATGGCGTCCGTAAAATAGTCATACACACAGTCTATTATTTTCAGACTGTATAACAAATATGAAAAAGAGCTATCTCTTTTTTGTATTAGAAGGATTTGTTAATTTCCTCTAAAATTTGATTACCTTATCAATGATATCTTTCAAACAGATATATCTGGATTTATGTTAGGGACATGTTTTATTTCAAAATCATTACAAACACCTAAATAAGGTTATTCTTTCTACCATATTGGTAATTACTAGGCTGTTTTTCCTGTTGGCTATACATGTCAGTAATCTTTAATGGGTCGTTCTATGACTTTGATTTTTACTGAAAAATATTTTTTTTAATTATAGTTTCGGGTGTTTGCATATGAAAATATCTGTTCCATAATTTGTAAAGATGTTTAAGGAAAGGAGCCAGCATGTACTACAGCTTTTACGGAGAGTTTTTGTAAGATGAGGGATAGTAGTTCTGTAGTATATTTTTTCGATGATGTGTGAACTCGATATGAAAGGATTGTATGATATAACTAATAACAATGTTGATAAACAATGCCATTTACATTATTGTTCATGTCTGATATATAGCCGCGTATTGTTTTGTAAGCTTTTTTTCGTTTTACCGACGTATACCAATCCGAAAAAGTTCAACTGTAATCCGTAATCAAGTTGATTTACAATTCAGAATACGTATCTCCTGATGAAGTATGATTTTCTAGTTAAATTGATCGTAAATTGAGCATCTGTTATCACACTTGTATAGCTTTTAAAATACTAGTTAAAAAGGAAGACTATTGGATTCGAGAACTGGGAACTACGAAACCCTATGGTTGCAATGGCAAAATTAATGGTAAAGGTATTACAATGCCGAGGAGTAGAGAGTACTATTCATCACATTCATCGATCTACAAACAGGAGTAGATAGAATACCTGTACCATAAATTTGGACTTTGAAAATGGAAAAGACCAAGAAATGACATAAAAAATAAAGAGTTGTGACACAATTGCAAATGAAACATCTCTTCACCAGAAACTAAATGATGCGGATGTCAGTAAATATTGATTACCCCGTAAGACTTCAACAATTAGTAAAACCAATACCGTATAGTTAGCTATAAAATTTTTGCTAGTGACCGACATGACACAACATCAACATATACGAACATGAAATTAATGAACATATCAGTTCTTGTTTTAGTAATGTTTTGTACGAATTTCGCTTTATGTGAATACAACTACAAGACTACTAGTGGTCCGCGACTAGAACATATGTAGTATAGCTTTTTTTTCTTTAAATAAGAACCCAATGGAGTATCAACCCAAGAAATATCGTCAAACATGTTAAATTTTATCTTCTTTACAACTTATATATTTCAGGAATTTGCTGGTCAGAGCACTGAAGGACAGCCTCCCATGCAGACTTTGATAATAACAACGAAACCATAACTTTGAATCAGGTAATTTTCTTTCTCTTAAACCTTCAAAATGCTGATTTATTTTGCTGAATTGTTTTGTTTAGAATTTTTCATAAAAGACATCTTTATTAATTTCCCATAACTTGATGATATACACTTTTTTTAATCCAAAACCTGATATCCATAGAGTTGAAGCACTAAAATATAAATCAGTCACGATGGCTGCTTTGAAAACACATATGTTTGCCTTTTGTTTTTCATTAAAACTTACCACATTCAGCCTTCTCACTACATATGCATGATAAATGGCATCAGTAGAAGTTTTCGTGAAAAGAATTATCTATTTCGTTTATTTTTTCATATCTTTGAAATTTGTTATTGACTTTATTATCACTTGTACCAAGTCAGGAATATGACGAATGTTTTCCATTCGTTTTATGTGTTTGAGCTTTTGATTTTGCCACTTGATAAGGGACTTTCCGTTTTAAATTTTCCTCGGAGTTCGGTATTTTTGATATGTTACTCTTTTTTCAGTGAAATGAGACAGAAAAACAGCATGATCACAAAGACGTTTTGATCAAATGTCAGCTATAGATCCAACAAAACATTATGGACAATAAGAGATCAGTTGGATATGGAAATATTTTTTTTACTTGTGTTTTGTTTAACTATAGTGTTTGTCTATTTGTTGTTTTTCTGCTTGGCTATCGTGTTGTCTGTTTTTACTTGACTAGTGATTTTGGTTTGCTTTCAAATATACAATTTTTTAATATCAAAAGAAATGTCATCATTTACATTAATGCATTGTTTGAGAATGCCGTTTTTTCATTTTTGTTGCTATGTTGATACAGATAGAAAATTTACAAGAATCTTCTCATAATCAGAAAACTATGTTAGAAGTATTAGTTAATTATACCCTTTCCTGTCTTTTCAATGGTGTGGAATGTGGCGACCAGCTATTTGCCAATTTGTAAAAGTTTGTAGCCTGTAAAATCCAAAGTAGGTGAAACACTTTTTGAACCTATCACAGAATTTAACATGTTGTACCTTTGTACGCCTATTTCATGATGTTTAGCTACTATTTGTATGAGCTTAACTTAGTCATATCCTAACAATATATTTTGTAGTCTGATATTCTCCTTAATCACAATTTAATACAAAATGAACCATTTAATGATATTGTGCCATCCTATTTCATAAATCACTCGTTATAGTCAGCAATTTAACACTATAAATGTTGTGTGTGTCTGGAGCGCTTTTCTTATTGTATTTTTAATATTACTAGAACACACCCGCGATATTGCGGGACCGGGACTGAATTAAAGTACCTACGCCTTATTTTTAGTATTCGTATTGTCATCTGATAAAGTTATGCTGATTATAAGGTGCACAGTTTTCTCTGCTTTCAAAATCTTTCTGTTTGAACCCGTTTACCCGGAACTTGTTGATTATTGGAAAACAAAAGGGCTTGGAATGGTGTAATTTTTAATCAACACCATTGTCCTATATAAGTTATATATAAAGTTGAATTCTTTGATTTGTCATTTTTACGTCATGCTGGCTAACAAATTGGACCTCGTTATCTTAGTAGTATAGATGGATATATCGCCGTATTTTATATTCAATATTTTATGAAGGAGTGTATGAACCCTTTTTGTTTTTTAAATAAGTATGGTAAAATTTTCAGTATACCTGTTTATTAGGTGAACAAAAAACGGTCTTTAGATTTAGTAGTATAGAGAGTACATGTACAGTGTATAAATACTGGGGCCGGGAGTAGTTTGTTTTAAGTTCGGTACAGCATGATTATTGTATAATGAGGCAAGTACTTTGATTCATTATGAATTATGATATATATATACTACTTGTTCTTTAACATCTATACTACTAAATCTAAAGACAGTTTTTTGTTCACCTAATAAACGTATAACCCAAGAAAGCTACTGCTTACATTAGACCGGAAATATAATGACATGACTAAAAGGAAATCGCATCGGATAGTTCCAAAACTTATTAATTTGTTTAATTGCTTATTGTTTCAAACAGTAATCGATGTAAAAGGGTAAAATTTTCAGTATACCCTATCAAGTATATATACCCTTATATAAGCTTGACTTGTAGCTTTCTTCGGTTATACGTTTAAAAAATGGTCTTTAGATTTAGTAGTATAGATTCGAAAAATCAGAGCATATGCATTATTTATAATTATTTAAATACTTGATTTTTTCCCCCAATTTACGGTTTTTGATAACAGTCTTGGTATTTTTTGGTTTATTTTTTAGTGTTTTTAATATAATCAAAAAGCGTGTTATTCATATTGTAACCATAGTTTAAAATAAAATTAGAGTGCAAATTGTATTTGATTTACTGTCTAGGAATAAAAGAGATGAGGTGTACAAGTTATGAGACAACAACACAATAACACAAAAATCAAAACATATCTATCTGTCTTTGTTTTTAATATATCAACTACTAAAACTTACTTCTGAGGTGGAAAAAGTTGGTAATGATAGGCAATCAAAGATTGCAACCCGCCTCTTTTAATTTGATGGGTGAAATAACCAACAGTTAACAAAACAAGCATTCTGAGAGTATTGCATGGCAATACATAGTCAACTACCGGTTAAAAACCAATTGTACTGGAACAAAATACTAACTTGATCTATAGCTTGTCATGGTGTAAACTATATAAGAAATATCAAATCATTATCTTCAAACATGATAACAAAAAGTGTGGAAAACTGATCACTTGCTTGAATCTTCGAAGACCAAGGACCATAAATTAAAACAAAATCATCAGACCAGAACAAAATTCCAGCTTGATCTGTAACTTCTCCTGATAAAACTATACACCAAATATCAAATCAATGTCTTCAAGCATGAAGAAAAAACGTGTGGAAAACTGATTTGCTAGACTACAGAAGGACAGACAGAGAGACAGAGAGACAGAGTGTAAACCTATGGTTCCCTTCGAATTTGTCGGTAGGGGACTAATAACTTGCAGTATAATCATTGGAAGAAATACATTGCACACCAGTAAACCAACTATGATCTGAAATGGCCATCTTGATCTGAACAACTCTCAAAAGACTGAACAATAATACATTAAGACATGTTCAGTATTTCAGTCTACAGCGGTAAATTCAATACTGTTCAGACAATAACCTTGCAGTCAATTAAGATCTGCTCAGTTAGTGTTCAATAGTTGTTACAACACAATAATTTACTGAATTGTTCGAAAAGCTACCTAACTGTACTGGATTAAATGCAAGCCAAATCTCAAACAGTACTGAATTCAAAACTATAAAAATACCTGAAAACTAACTTAACATCTTAAAAAGACTTAAAAGATCACAGAAATACACATAAAAACAAAGATAATAATTCCATAAAACTTAAATATATTGCATCCCAAACATATGTGTTTAATGTTAGCAGGATGCTCGAACCCAATAACTTCCAAGCCAAGAATGATTAAGTATGTTATCTCTTCTTGTTTTTTTTAATTTTGTCAGATATACTGAATCCTCTGGTTTAATCCATGTAGTGCTAATAACTATTTTGCCAACTAACCCCTACTTTTCTTTTCGATATTTTGTAACATACAGTTTAAAAAACATTATTTGAAAATCTTATGAAATCCTTATTTTTTCATAGTTTTTGAAAGAAAAAATGTGCCAATGTTATATGTTCTAGAGAGAATGATTTCCCACCAAATTTTCAACGGTTTATATCTCGAAAACAAGCACACGGACCTTTCATTTTTTTCTGCTTTTTTAGTTCCTTCATTTATATACTATGAATGTATAACAGTCTTTTAAAAAGTTTGTTATTTTGAAACAGAGTAGCGAACATCCTTAAATGCTTTCATATGAACATAAGCAGCTATATGAAAAGGGAATACCCAAATCTACTGAAGGCCAAATTTGCAGTAAAAAATTAGAGCCTTATTTTTCTTTATAATTTCTAAATTTATCAATTTTTTTTTATATCTTGTTAGTATTCAGATGTAAATTTAATTATTGCTGAGCTGAGAAAATCCTCCGGCTAAAGCAGTAATAAAAGGAAATAACACTGCATATTTAATAAACATGTCTTCCTGATACACATGAAATATTTGCCACTGAACGTTAAACACCAATCTATTACAAATCATTATCTTCAAATAAATAACATATTCAAACTGTTAAATTGGACCATTGGCTTCTTATTTGCATTCATTGACAATTTGATACCCTCTAATAACTATAACTTAATGATATCGGCTTTGCTCATTGTTGGATGCTGTATAGTTAATTACTGTAGTTGTTATAAATATCCTAAGGCTTATTTTTTTGTCTATGGTGGATAGACAAATCATTGGAAATGATATCAAAAATCAATACAGTATATAAATCAATTGATTAACATGAAAACAACTAAACATGATAATTTCTTTATTTTTAGCTTTTAATTAAAGCTTTTTATTACAAATAATCTGCAAGCATGGCAATTAAAACAATATGTGGAAATTGTACCTTTCTTGTACAAAATAAAATAACTGAATAAAACATAATCACAGACCTAATACTATTCACAATTAATCAAGTACATTATGCAGAGGTTTATTGAAGTATTGAAAATAGGAAATATTTGCATCTATTAAATATGTTTAATCTTTTTTTTATAATATTGTCAATCATTATAAGTACCCTTATATATATATATACAAGTCTAAATCGAAAACAACGTTCAAACCTATGATTGCGTTGGATAAAAACCGCAATTTTTATACATGTGCATGCAAAACAAATTTTTTGGTAGAGGGGTCTAAATACAGCACAAAAACATTTTCCAAAAGACCAAAAAAGTGAAAAAGTATATTTTAACAAAACGCATTTGACTAGCAGGTCGAACAACGGATGTTCTTAAACCCTGCTGACTGCCATTGGCGATTGCCAAATAAACGGATTACCAGATGTAACAAGCATATATTGAAAACAATATACGCTTTAATAAATACTTGATATATAACACACAGGAATATACAGAGGAAAAGTTATTAGAATAAGTTATTTTTTTTATTTTGTCACTTTGTGACTATAATTTGTTTCAAAAAGTCAGAACTAAAATTGCAATTTTCGTTCAAAACACTTCATCAGAGGCAAATATTATTTTGATAAAATTTCAGCTTTTATTGTTACTAGAACAAAAGTTACTGCAAAGTATTGAATAATAAAATGAGTGGTACATGCAATGCATTACAATGCCATGCCCAAAATGTTATGGTCCAAATAAAATAGCCAATAGGTGATAAAAATAAACCTACTTTGAAAAGATTTAATTTTTTTTCAATGATTTCTTCAATTCCTTGTAAAAAAAAATTATAATAAAAAAAAACAAGAGTGCACACGCTGAAATGTCTCGCCTTCTTTACTAATCATTGATATTGTGCTGATAGTCCTAAATATAAAGCTTTATTACAACTGTCACATAAACTTAACATTAACCCAAGTAAACTAAACATTGACCAATGAACCATGAAAATGAGGTCAAGGTCAGATGAACCATGCTAGGCAGGCATGTACAGCTAACAATTCTTCCATACAACAAATATGGTTGACCTATTGCTTATAGTTTAAGAAAAACAGACCAAAACACTGAGCAATGAACCTTGAAAATGAGGTCAAGGTCAAATAAAACCTGCGTGACTGACATATAGATCATAAAATATTTCCATACACCAAATGTAGTTGACCTATTGCATATAGTATTAGAAAAAAAGATCAAATCTCAAAAACTTAACTTTGACCACTGAACCATGAAAATGAGGTCAAGGTCAGATGACGCCTGCCAGCTAGACATGTACACCTTACAATCATTCCATACACCAAATATAGTAGACCTATTGCATGCAGTATTAGAAAAAATGACCAAAACTCAAAAACTTAACTTTGACCACTGAACCATGAAAATGAGGTCAAGGTCAGATGACACCTGCCAGCTAGACATGTACACCTTACAATCATTCCATACACCAAATATTGTAGACCTATTGCATATAGTATTAGAAAAAAAGATCAAATCTCAAAAACTTAACTATAACCACTGAACCATGAAAATGAGGTCAAGGTCAGATGACACCTGCCAGTTGGACATGTACACCTTACAGTCCTTCCATACACCGAATATACTAGACCTATTGCTTATAGTATCTGAGATATGGACTTGACCACCAAAACTTAACCTTGTTCACTGATCCATGAAATGAAGTCAAGGTCAAGTGAAAACTGACTGACGGGCATGAGGACCTTGCAAGGTACGCACATACCAAATATAGTTATCCTATTACTTATAATAAGAGAGAATTTAACATTACAAAAAATCTTAACTTTTTTTTCAAGTAGTCACTGAACCATGAAAATGAGGTCAAGGACATTGGACATGTGACTGACGGAAACTTCGTAACATGAGGCATCCATATACAAAGTATGAAGCATCCAGGTCTTCCATCCTCTAAAATATAAAGCTTTTAAGAAGTGAGCTAACACCGCCGCCGCCGCCGGATCACTATCCCTATGTCGAGCTTTCTGCGACAAAAGTCGCAGGCTCGACAAAAATGTGTTCATTGTTCCAAAATACTATCTATCACTTCAAGAGACGTGGAATAATTGCTAAAATATTTGCATAAATTTACCTATTTACAATTTATCTTTAATAATGAAAATTCTCCTTGTTTTTATCTTTAAAAAATTTCAACTGATGAAAAAAATTTCTTAAAAACTAAGAACTGAAATTAATTCAAAAAACAATATGACTTCATTATAAATTAAAATAATTAATGTACATTCTACATTAATATTTGATATCATTTTCGGATTTTTAAAAATGTAACAGAATTCCTATTGCATTAATCCAACTTCTCATTTTAAACTTTGATGTAGCATTCCCATTCTTGTCCATTGATAAATAAAAATTATTGCAATTATGAATACAAGCAATAAGTTCTGAATTTACAGTACTTAAAAGGCAATTAATAAACATATTTATTGTCATACTTCGAAGCACAAGACAGAGAGATTTTGAACAAATTTAATTGTGAATCATTTAGAATTTATATAAAAAAGTATATTTTTAGAATACAACTAGTACATGAAGATACAATTTTTTCACAAATTTGTTTGTAAGGAAGATTAAAAAAAAAAATCGTTTATTTCCTGCACACATCCTGCATTTTTGGAATCTATAATCAAAATTACAAAATCCATAAAAAAAACAAACAATACCTGTTGTTTTTTTTCTTCTGTCTATTCAAGTCAAAGGAAAGCATGGATCAATGATCTTTTCAGTTTTAATTCAAAACATATGTATGATACAGACTTGTTGTACAATAAAATAAGCAAGGGGAGATAACAAATATCGATCAAGCAATGAGGACATTTTACAGGAGGACAGAATACTGTTATACAGCCATTTAAATAATTATGTATCATAATCTGGTTTAACAACATCACAATAACAATTCATATACAAAAACAAGTTTTAAACTTAATAAACTATCTTAAATTATTAATCTATAAATCAAGGCAACTCAACTGGGTCGGCAATTAACCCCTTGGTCGCCCCTCTGTTCTTCTTCTTCATCTACATCAAACACTCCAGTGATCCGGTATCCCATGTTCATTAGCATGACCTCTAAGGGGTCAGCATTCATTCTCTTTTGATTGGCTAATGCTGCGTCATCTGAGTTATCAATTTCTCTTTCATTCTTTGAACCGTCCTAAAAGATAAGATGTTCCTCATTCTTAATTTAGAATTTTTGTGGATTACCTTTCCAAGTGATTACAGAATTAAAATTGAAATTAAAAAAACTGGGTAAAGCTTACATTTAACAAGCATTCTGAGAGTATTGCATGGCAATACATAGTCCCCTACCGGTTAAAAATTAATTGTACTGGAACAAAATGCCAACTTGATCTATAAATTGTCATGGTGTAAACTATATAACAAATATCAAGTCAATATCTTCAAGCATGATGAAAAAAAGTGCGGAAAACTGATAATTTAAGTGAATTTTCTAAGTCCAAGGACCATAACTCTGCACAAAATCATCAAACCGGAACAAAATTCGAACTTGATCTGTAACTTGTCATGATAAAACAATGTACCAATTATTAAATCAATATCTTCAAGAATGACGAAAAAAAGTGCGGAAAACTGAATATTTGAGTGAATTTTCCAAGTCCTAGGACCATAACTCTGCACAAAATTATCAGACCTCAACAAAATTAGCACTTGATCTGTAACTTGACATGATAAAACAATATACCAAATATCAAATCAATGTCTTCAAGCATGAAGAAAAAAAGTGTGGAAAACTGATGTGCCGGACTGACAGAAGGACAGACAGACGGACAGACAGACAGACAGACAGACAGAAAGACAGACAGACAGACGGACGGAGTGCAAACCTAAAGTCCCCTTCGACTTCGTCGGTAGGGGACTAATAAATGGCAAAGTCAATATGTTGCTGCAAAGCTCCTATACGAGGGTCTGGATGGGGTATTTCATTTCTTTCTTCTTTATTTCTTTAGACCTTTTTTCTTTAGTCTTTATCTATTTTGTCCATTATTCCCTATTCTTTATATTCTAATACCCCATTATCATGGTTATTCTCTGTTCTTTATCTTTTTTGCCAATATCGTAGTAGGGGCATTATGTTTTTCGGTCTGTGCATCCATTCGTTCGTTTGTCCATCTGTCCCGCTTCAGGTTAAAGTTTTTGGTCAAGGTAGTTTTTGATTAAGTTGAAGTCCAATCAACTTGAAACTTAGTACACATGTTCCCTATGATATGATCTTTCTAATTTTAATGCCAAATTAGAGTTTTGACTACAATTTCACAGTACACTGAACATAGAAAATGATAGCGCGAGTGGGGCATCTGTGTACTATGGACACATTCTTGTTTTGTATTCTTTTATCTTATCACCCTCTATTCTGCACATTTTGCCCATTATCCCCTATCCTGTAAACCCCATATAGACCATCCTATCTCGAATAGAAAATATAGAGAAGGAGATCTCAAATGGCATAGTTTAACAAAAAATTTAGATTTTTTAATATTTATCCTTTTTGCATCAAAACTAAACTAAGTGGAGTCTGAAATAAAATTAAAAAAACATTGCTAATTTTAATAAGTCTCTCATCCTTTTAATTCAGATATTTCAAGGAAATAAAAAAAATAAATCTGAATAAATAAGAGAAAAGATAATGCCTTAATATGACATCGAAAACCCAAATCCTCCCAAAACAGTACAAAGCAAGGTATATTGATATGTATCTAATAAGTTATTGTTCTTGATAATACAAGTAAATATTTGTGTCCAGACATTGAACACTACACAATCAATCAGTCAATCATTCCCTAATGAATATTTACCTCTGCTAAAGGACTCCACAATCGTACCACTGGGTCTATTCCACTGGTCGCTAACAAGCAATGACTTGGATGTGGCTGTAAACAATTTACTATAGAGTCGTCTCCCTTTAATACCCGTACAATATTTGTAGTATTCTTCTCCCATATAAAGAAAGAACCGTCATCAGATCCTGCTACTATATACTGACCATTGCTGCAAAAAAAAATAACACAATATGCTGTAAATTTAGAAAATTTTCATTCTATTTGTATTTGTTTTTTTTTAATTGCAATTGTTGAACAATTGACAAAAATGTGAGATTATTTATTACAACTTCAAGAAATGCTGTATTAAATTTTGCTTCCAAAATTTAAAATGCGAGTTTGTTTTTTTTTGCAAATCTATCATGATGTGATTCTTTGCCATTATAAAACATTGCAAAATTTCTGAATTTACAGTCACTGTGTTTAATTTGTATCTTACAGGTATTCAGTGACTTCCCTGGAATATATATATCAGCATTTGAAACGTTTTTTCTGCAATATAAAGAGAGAGCTAGAGGTGGTTTTGATTTTGGCTGAAGGTCACAAGATGAAGATCACCAACAAAGCTCTTTATCATTATATAAATATATATCTATATTTATATTTGGTTGTCAATATATCTTCCAATAATCTCAAAAGCACAATCATCCATATTCTGTATCTCCTAGTTAACATCTTTACCTCAATTCCTTTAACAATTAAAAAGTTGGCTTATAATTTTAATCATGATCCAATAAGTCCTTTCGTAGATGTTACGTCAACTAAATTCAAAGACTTACAGGACATACGAGATTACCAAACTTGACAGTATCTACTCTATTTACTACAAGCATGTCGCTCTTATTAAAGTAAACTCAACCAAATTTTACCTTCCAAAATAGTTGGCCTCTTTTATATCTGTTGTTGTATTGCAATGCCCACAGAACCTTGACTCATGGTCAAAGGCTGCTTCCCGCCATAACTTCTCCTGGTCAGATATTGGGAAGGACTTCTTTCTCATAGCAGCTTGTGGATCTACAGAATTATCTGGGTCTTTCTCATCTATTAAACATTACAATAATGAAATGCTCCGCTGGGCGCAGCTTGATACAACCGTAGAGGTCGAACCCTGAACAGTTGGGGCAAGTATAGACACAACATTCAAGCTTGATACAGCTCTGAATTTGGATTGTGATTAAATATTTGACACAGCATAGGTTTCTGACACAGAATGAATGTGGTCTAAGAACTTAAAAAAATTTAATTTACCTATTTAAACCATATCATTATTATTTGCTTTTATATATAAATCAGAAATAACCAACTTAAAATGGAAAATTTTAAAGAAAAAAAAAAAGAAAAAAAAATCCCCCCCCCCAAATTTTTTGAACCCCCTTATGATTCATCACCCCCAAACTCAATCCCAGCCTTCCCTTTGTGGTATGTTACCTTGCAGTTCAATTTCAGAGAGATCCATACACTTGAACACAAGTTATTGTCTGGAAACTAGAAAAATGCTTGTTTTTTGGCCCCAAATTCCTAAACGTTTAGGGCAATTACCCCCAAACTCAAACCCAGCTTTCCCTTTGTGATATGGAACCTTGTAGTACAATTTCATAAGGATTCATACACTTACACACAAGTTATTGTCCTGAAACTAGAAAAATGCTTGTTTTTTGCCCCTTTTTGGCCCCTAATTCCTAAAATTTTGAGGCAATTACCCCCAAAATCAATCCCAGCATTCCCTTTGTGATATGGAACCTTGTAGTACAATTTCAGAGAGATCCATACACTAACACACAAGTAAGTTACAAAAATGTTTATTTTTGGCCCCTTTTTGGCCCCTAATTCCTTAACTGTTGGTACCATGACCCCCAAAATCAATCCCAACCTTCCTTTTGTGGTGTTGAACATATAATAAAATTTCATAGAGATCCATTCTCTTAAACTAAAGTTATTGTGCAAAAACCAATGTGTCTTCGGACGACGACAACGACAACGCCAACGTCATACCAATATACGACCGAAAAAATTTGTTGTGGTCGTATAAAAATTATTACCTTTATCTTAAAATAGTTTATGTCATGACCATAATTAAAGGACAATATTTAGGAAGTTAAATTCAATGTTTCTTTTTATCATGTTCATTGCATTTACGTAACATTATCATTTTAAAATTAGTTCTTTTTGTTTTTTGAATACAGGAAAAGGAAAACAAGAGAGTGTCAAATAAAAAAAAATAAGAAAATATGCATCTTTCATTTTTTTTCTTACAAGATAAATAAATGGGGAATGTGTCCATGGGACACAGATGATGCCCCCGCTTGCATATCATATAAAGTTATAAAGGGACATAACCGAAGAACGATAAAACTGACGCTACCCAAATTTGTACTTGATCTGAGTTCTGTGGTAACAAGTATTGTGTATAAGTTTAATAAAATTTGGTTGAGGCAAACATAAGTTAGAGAACAGAAACGAAAAATGTTTCCATTTGTAAAGGGCATAACTCTGGAACAGTAAAAGTGACACCACCAAAATTCAAATTTGATCTGTATTTTGTGGTAATAAGCATTGTGTATAAGTTTCATAACATTTGGTTGAGGAAAACTAAAGTTAAAGAACGGAAATGAAAAATTCAGCAATTTTTCCATTTGTAAAGGGGCATAACTCTAGAACGGTTAAAGTGACGCCACCAAAATTCAAACTTGATCTGTGATTTGTGGTAATAAGCATTGTGTATAAGTTTCATAACATTTGGTTAAGGCTAACTTAAGTTAGAGAACAGAAACGAAAAATTCAGCAATTTTTCCATTTGTAAAGGGGCATAACTCTAAAACGGTTAAAGTGACACCACCAAAATTCAAACTTGATCTGTATTTTGTGGTAATAAGCATTGTGTATAAGTTTCATAACATTTGCTTGAGGCAAACTAAAGTTAAAGAACGGAAACGAAAAATTCAGCAATTTTCCCATTTGTAAAGGGGCATAACTCTAGAACGGTTAAAGTGATGCCACCAAAATTCAAACTTGATCTGTATTTTGTGGTAATAAGCATTGTATATAAGTTTCATAACATTTGGTTGAGGCAAACTAAAGTTAGAGAACGGAAACCAACTTTGGGACGTATGTACGTACCTACAGACGGACAAGGGTAAAACTTAATGCCCCCTCCGCTACTGCGGGGGCATAAAAACCTTCTCCAGGTATTATACCACCAAATCATAGTACGTCACATCCGGTTGCATACGAAAAAGGGTCGAAAAAAAATATTCCTTTGAATTGACAGTTGTAGGAAATTAATCCTACATTTCATTGCAGTAAAAAATTTCTATGTCATAAACATATATCTTGGGTGTTTCAAAGCATCATTATTTTTTTATTTGGTGTTTCTATAGAATATTTTGGAAACTTGAGGTGACATGGTTACTAAAGCTTGTACACAGGGGAAAAAAAGGGTGAACATTTGATTGGTTAACTTCAAGTGATGGTTATTTTCTTATATGCAATGAAATGTTATGTGTCTATAGTACTGGACAGGATAAAACTTTACTCATGCCAAGTATTTCTTCATTTGAAACAAAGATAAATTCTGCACAATATTTTGAAAAGTGCAAATCTAACAAAGACTAATAGGGGAAAATCAATGGTGGTATTACACCTCCAAAAGTTTGAAGTCAGAGAAAAAAATTATTTCAGTTACCAAATTTTTCATTTCTTCATTCTTTAAGGTGGTACCTAACACTACAGGGAGATAACTCTGTAAAAATCAGCTAAACGTTTTAATCATGTTAAGGAAATATCAAGATTCTCAATGATCAAAATTAGTGTTTGTCAAACTGCTATATAACCAGTGAAATTTTTCTGATAAAGTGGTTGGTTCAAATTATTTGAAATTTTTATATTTTTGTCAAAGGGTCAAAGTAAACATTTTGTCAAATTTTTAGGAAAATTAAACGAGCCAAATTAGTATTAGTCAAGGTGTTGGGTACCACCTTAACTCTCTAAGGCATGTTTCTCTATTCTTTATTGTGTTTTATCCATTATTCTCTTTTCTTTATTTTTTTACCATTTTTCTCCATTCTATAAACCCCATACAGGCCCTCATGAAAACTCTATAGCTATTACTTACCTGCATTGGAGCTAATGGCTGCTTTAATATCTTTGTCTAATGCTTCACAAGCATTACTTTTTGCATAGTCTGGAAACTTATTTTTAAATTGTTGTAAACAATCATAGGCTTCCTGTGGCCATGACAACTCATACAAACATCTAGCCAATCGAAAATGAGCTTTTAAATGGTTTGGATCTAACTGTAAAGCACTGTGACAGTCTCTTAATGCTGCATATAAATCACCATCCCTGAAATATAAAAGGTCAAAAGGTTGAAATTTTAACCAATTAGAAATGAATTTTTTAAGTTTCAATCTGCAAATGTGGTGATTTACCACTCTTCAACAAAAATACCAAAGAAATTCAAAGATTTGAGAATTTCCTACACCAGTTAACATTCTAAACAGATTCATTATGTTTTACTGATTCACCATACAATACATTTCAAAGGTCTGCATTTAAAGGACATAAAGTAAATACATGTTTTTTATCTTCAATTTCATTTTTACACACAAAACAAGATCTTTCATTAATTGGTTTATTCTCATATTGTCCTGTTTCTATTTAAAGTGATGCAACGCCACATCTAAATTTTGCATAAGCACTTCTAAACATCATACATGTAATAAAGGTGTGACATTTAATACAATTTTCATTTACTTAATTAGATTAAATGCCTCTTTTAGTATTTCAAAATCACATTTTTTTTGCACAAAAAACTAATTGGTAAATATGTGTGAACTTAAAACTGATTGATAGATTTTTTATGTTAAACACTGTTTTTGGCACTCATGGCTATATCCTAGCAGCCAGTTTTTATTGGTGTGGTGGCATAAGCCACAGAGTGCCCACAGAGAACCACCAATCTTCAGCAGGAAAACTGGAACTTTAAGGATGTTCGCTACTCTGTTTCAAAATAACAAGCTTTTAACCCTGCCACATTCTGTATGTATGTGCCTGTCCCAAGTCAGGAGCCTGTAATTCAGTGGTTGTCGTTTGATTATGTGTTACATATTTGATTTCGTTCATTTTTGTATATAAATTAGGCCGTTAGTTTTCTCGTTTGAATTGTTTTACATTGTCATTTCGGGGCCTTTTATAGCTGACTGTGCGGTCTGGGCTTTTCTCATTGTTGAAGGCCGTACGGTGACCTATAGTTGTTAATTTCTGTGTCATTTGGTCTCTTGTGGAGAGTTGTCTCATTGGCAATCATACCACATCTTCTTTTTTATATTTTAAAAGACTGTTATAAATTGATAGTATATGAAAAACGAAACTTGAAAAGCAGAAAAAAATTATAGGTCCATGTCCTTCATTTCGAAATATTAATTGAAAATATGGCGGGAAAATATTCTCTCTAGATTTTTCATACATTTAACATTGGCACCTTTCATTTAAAAACTATGAAAAAATAACAATTATATTATTATTTTATAAGATTTTGAAAAATGGATTTTTAAACTATTATGAAATAAAATTGTGAAAAGAAAAGTAAAGGTTAGTGGGCAAAATTTTTATTGGCAATATATGGATAAAACCAGAGAATTCCGAAAACCTTGCAAAAATTCAAAAACAAGAGGAATTGTTTGTGTGATCTTTCAAAAAAATTGACTATTTTTCAAGATAAGAAGGAAATAATTCATGTTTATACAGACAAACACTGGAGTAAATTACTTATCTGGTTGATGCATGTGCTCTAACACCATAAAAAAAATCTACCAAAATCTATGTATATTTACACCAAACTCTCATAAAATTTGCTTCTAAGTGCCATAACTACTTTTACTCGAATATCTTGGATCATATATACTACCTCTTTTTAGTTTTGTATTATCCCAACTTTAAATAAACTAACATTGAATCTTAAATTGAAAGTTCTAAGTAGTGCATGGGTTTAATAAGACCTCAATATGGACCCTATTTCTAGCCAAAATTTCAAATTAAATTTAGGTGCTAATAATATCAGTTTAGTGATGACTAGATGATCATCCCATGTTTCAGGGTTAAGTGTGACATCCATTTTCACTGAACTAGTATACATTATTGTTGAAGCCCGCCTCTGGGTGCAGGATTTTCGAGGTGTGTTGAAGACCCATTGGTGACCTAGGGCTCTTTTCTGCCCTTTAGTCAGGTTGTTGTCTCTTTCACACATTACTCATTTCCATTTTCAATTTTAGGTACAAAATAGATATATTTATAGAAAATTAATTTATCAGCTTTCTTTTTATAATGTCAAAATTAGCATAATTTTCATTTTTTTTCACCAAATTCAATAAAAAAACAGAACAATTTCCATTTGACATTATATTGAGTACCAACTAACTGTAAGGCTCTGTTCAAATGTTTACTGATTTCAGTAATAAAAAGTCAGCAAAGGCCCAAATGACCATTCACAGTAAATTAAATCATACCATTCCAAAAGCAACCTACCATTTTCTTTTCATGTAAGCCGCTGCCCTATTTCCAAACAACACAGAAGAATTAGAGGCTCTAGCAATGGCTTGGTTATATAAATAAATAGCCTTAGAATAATGTTCTTTTTCAAAATAACTGTTAGCCTTCTTCTTTAGTATCTCCACGGCCTGTGGTAAGCCTTTAGCATCCAGTTTGTGCCTAAAATCAATAAAACATTTCTTGAAATCTATAAAAATGAGTAAAAAAGTTAAAAATACTATAAAATAAAATGCTCTGCTGGGGCGCAGCTTGATACGACCGCAGAGGTCGAACCCTGAACAGTTGGGGCAAGTATGGACACAACATTCAAGCTTGATACAGCACTGAATTTGGATTGTAATTAAATATTTGACAAGGCATAGGTTTCTGACACAGAATGAATGTGGTCTAAGAACTTAAAAATTTTTAATTTACCTATTCAAACCATATCATTATTATTTGCTTTTATATATAAATCAGAAATAACCAATTTAAAATGGAAAATTTAAAGAAAAAAAAAGGAAAAAAAAATCCCCCCCCCCCCCAAATTTTTGAACCCCCTTATGATTCATCAACCCAAAACTCAATCCCAGCCTCCCCTTTGTGGTATGGAACCTTGCAGTACAATTTCAGAGAGATCCATACACTTGAACACAAGTTATTGTCTGGAAACTAGAAAAATGCTTGTTTTTTTGGCCCTAAATTTCTAAACGTTTAGGGCAATTACCCCCAAACTCAAACCAAGCTTTCCCTTTGTGATATGGAACCTTGCAGTACAATTTCATAAAGATCCATACACTTACACACAAGGTATTGTCCTGCAACTAGAAAAATGCTTGTTTTTTTGCCCCTTTATGGCCCCTAATTCCTAAAATTTTGAGAGAATTACCCCAAAAATCAATCCCAGCCTTCCCTTTATGATATGGTACCTTGCAGTACAATTTCAGAGAGATCCATACACTTGAACACAAGTTATTGTCTGGAAACTAGAAAAATGCTGGTTTTTGGCCCCTTATTCCTTAACGTTTTGGGCAATTACCCCCAAACTCAATTCCAGCTTTCCCTTTGTGATATGGAACCTTGCAGTACAATTTCATAAAGATCCATTCACTTACACAAAAGTTATTGTCATGAAACTAGAAAAATGCTTGTTTTTTGCCCCTTTTTGGCCCCTAATTCCTAAAATTTGGGGGCAATTACCCCCAAAATCAATCCCAGCATTCCTTTTGTGATATGGAACCTTGTGGTACAATGTCAGAGAGATCCATACATTAACACACAAGTTATGTCTGGAAGTTACAAAAATGCTTATTTTTGGCCCCTTTTTGGCCCCTAATTCCTTAACTGTTGGTACCATAACCCCCAAAATCAATCACCACCTTCCTTTTGTGGTATTGAACCTTGTGGTAAAATTTCATAGAGATCCATTCACTTAAACTAAAGTTAGAGTGGGAAAACCAATGTGTCTTCGGACGACGATGACGACACCAAGGTCATACCAATATACGACCGCAAAATTTTTTTGCAGTCGTATAAAAATCTATAAGCAACCATGATTATTTTTTAATTGGAAATTTACTTTTGTTATAATCATGATAACTACACAATCATTATACTTACATCAATAAGATTTTATTTACAAGATTTAAAAGAATTTAAAAAAAAATCTTTCACTTCAAATTAATTTAAGCTTACATTTCAACTTTATTGTTATCATATTTGTGAAAATTCAGTGGACAAATCTTTCTTCTTTGCAAGTTTTCCAAGAAAAGAATTTTTCTATGTTACCTTTTTACAGATCTATATTTAGCTTCGACTTCTAATTCAGCCTTCATCACAGCAGCGGCAGCAGCCTGTACACCATTAGCAACACCATTCGTTGTACCATTTTTATGAAGACTAAATCCATTTGTACAAGCTGCTTCTGTAGACAGACACAAGTAAAGATATGAAAACTAAAAACTGACAAAAAAGTGACCATGTGTTATATATCAGTATTTAAGAAAATACCTATTTTCATGTTGATTCACACAAATATAAAGAAACCAAGTTATCCCAAATAACAGCTATTCCCATTATTCATTAAATTCAGAAATTTTTGTGATGTTTTTATTATTGTGAAGGGATAGGTTTCACAAAAAATAAAAGCTCCATTTCAATTCTGATAGCATTATTTGCATCCAACATTTTATGAAATCATAAAAATTAATTTCCCTTTTTTGTCCATTATTCAACGATCACAATAATAAATGCATGCAAAAATATCAAAATTTACAGTATATGGATCAGATATGACAGCATCTGGAACAACAAATATATCAAGCATTTTGTGAGTATTGCATGGCAATACATAGTCCTATACCGGTTAAAAATGCATTGTATTGGAATGAAATACTAACTTGATCTATAACTTGTCATGGTGTAAACTATATAAATCAAAGCACTGTAAGCGCTGTAGGCAGTTAACCAAAAACCAAGGCAAACGTAATTATGAAAACTGTGGCAATGTTGCTTCAATTTTTTTTTAAAGATTTAAAAGAACAAACATTAAACATTCATATATTGTACATTTATGTTTATTTAATGAATTAATTATTAAGGCAAATAATTTATATTTTATCAAGGTTTTTAAACGCATATATCAATGTATATTTTTAATGGTGAGTCTGCAGTGGTACAAGTTCGCAAAGATTGCAGTTGTTCTAGTTGGTAGTTAACATTGGTAATAGTTGACTGTTAGTAGTACAAGTTGACTTAGTACGAGCTTGTAATAGTATGAATGGACTTGCTTCCCTGGAAAGAAAACTGAGTTTGTGTTCTACAGTACAAAAGTTATGAGACACAAATCAGACAAATGTTTACTACTACAGGGATCAAAGGTGAGGTCTGACTGACCTGCCCATAGTAAATGTAAATGACTCCCACCTTCACCCCAAGTCCATGATGTCTAAGTTTGGAATAAAATGACAGGTGATTATAAAACAGTTGGTCAAACATTCTTGGGCTTGAAAGATTTATATATGTTTTCTTTAAAATGAGCCATAAATGTAATATTTTTAAAGGACCAGAAATAATTCAAAATATAATTAGGTAAATTCTTTAAACCTACTCATTTTTTGCATCAATAAAATTTTATGATAAACAAGAAATAATTGTAACAGGATGCTGTTACAAAGTCTCCCAAACAAAGCACCCATAATTATTCCTTCCCATGGTCGCCTGACATTGGGCAAAGTCTAGTACACATTGGTTAGGTCTAGTAAAGTGATATGCATATGTGACACATCGGAGATTGACCTTGTATGTCATTCAAATCATTTTGAAATGACGAACAAGAATAAATATGGTTTAGGAGTTGGTATCTCAACCGTTTACAAGTTCTCAAACACACACAGGAGGGGGTGGGGTGACCCTAGGGACTACCCCTATATCATGTATATTTCATTTGATTTTTTATATTGTCCCATACATGAATATATATGGTTTAGGGGTGGGGATCTCGACCGTTTCAAATTCTCAAACAGGAGGGGGTGGGGTGACCCCAGGGACTTCCACTATATTTTATTTGATTTGTTATATAGTCCCATACATGAGTATATATGGTTTAGGGGTAGGGATCTCGACCGTTTCCAAGTTCTCAAACATGGGGGGGGGTTGACCCCAAGGACTCCCCCTATATTTCATTTGATTTGTTATATTGTACAATACATGAATATATATGGTTTAGGGGTTGGGAACTCATCCGATTCCAAGTTATCAAACAGGAGGGGGTAGGGTGACCCCATGGACTCCCCCTTTATTTCATTTGATTAGTTATATTGTCCCATACATGAATTTATATGGTTTAGGGGTGGGGATCTCGACTGTTTCCAAGTTCATAAACAGGAGGGGTGGGGTGACCACAGGGACTCCCCCTATATTGCATTTGATTTGTTATATAGTCCCATACATGAGTATATGAGTATATGGTTTAGGGATGGGGATCTTGACCGTTTCCAAGTTCTCAAACAGGGGGGACCGCAAGGACTTCCCCTACATTTCATTTGATTTGTTATATTGTACAATTCATGAATATATATGGTTTATGGGTGAGGATCTCGACTGTTTCCAAGTTCTCTAATAGAAGGGGGTGGAGTGACCCCAGGGACTCCCCTATATTTCATTTGATTAGTTATATAGTCCCGTACATGAATATATATGGTTTAGGGGTGGGGATCTCATCCATTTCCAAGTTATCATACAGGAGGGGGTAGAAAGGCCCCAAGGACTCCACCTATAGTTCATATGATTTGTTATATTGTCCCATACATGAATATATATGCTTAAGGGGTGGGGATCTCGACTGCTTCAAAGTTCCCTAACAGAAGGGAAGGGGGTTGGGTGACCCCAGAGACTCCCCCTATATTTCATTTGATTAGTTATATTGTCCCATACATGAATAAATATGGTTTAGGGGTGGGGATCTCGTCTGTTTCCAAGTTCTCAAACATGGGGAAAAGGGGGGGGGGGGGGGGTTGACTACAGGGACTCCCCCTATAATTCATTTGATTTGTTATATTGTCCCATGCATGAATATATATGGTTTAGGGGCGGGGATATCGACCGTTTACTAGAAAAAAGCACATTTTCAAATTGAAGGGGGTTGGGATGACCCCCAGGGACTCATCCTATATTTTAATTGATTTGTTTTATTGTCCTGTTCTCATTACTAAAGACCATGTGTGTCTATCACTTACTGTTTTCGAAATAATAGTCATTTGCAAATTAAAAAAAACCAAAAAAAACATTGGGTTCTACAGTAAACCCCTCCCTTCTTTAGGCCCCTTAAAATACCCCCAAATAGATCCCAATGCACAAACGAAAGATTGATGGCTCCGCTAGACATGTTAGTCTAACATTTTATGAAACCCTAAGTAAATCTGACAAGCGGTCCGTGTTGTCTTCTAAGACGGTCCGACTTGTCTCGGGGACGAGTTATCCCCATTTATTAAAACATCCCATCAACGTCGAACGTCGATTTGATCCGGATCTTTTTCATTCTTAATAACAAGTGTAAACATCGAATGTTGGTGCATTACTTGACAAGGTCATTTATGTGAAAAACGGAGTAATTTAAAAGAATGAAATTCAAATGTGAATACACAATTTATCAACACTCATCTCAAACAAAAGGAATATTATGATTAACAATAATGACCTTTCTATCATCAGAATCCTCCAAATTTAAAAGATACGAAAATTTCGTCTTCTAAATTATTTGAAATTGCCGCCAACAGTTGAACTTATTAATAGACTACTGACGTAGTTGTACTACGTATTGATGACAAACAATATTCCTACGACTTTTGCCATTTGGGAAATCTAAACTACTTGTCTTTAGAGATTTTTGGCGATTAAATATTTCATACAATTGTTCTTTGACATCTTAGCCAAAAGCACAGGGGATAATAAACTACATAACGATTCCTAATGAGCACTACTTCATATGTGCAACTTCAAAACTTTTGGGTGGTTCGACGATCATTTAAGGTTTTTCTGGTCATATTTTTTGTAATCCAGAATTAAAAGTATGAAAAAAGTGTTCAATTAGTTATAAATAACATAATAGCCAGCTAGATAATAACAATGGCACGTATTTCAGCATTTATTGGGTAGAACACAAATCTAGGGTGCTCGCATAAGGCAGCTTAACTGCCTAAAAATATCAAGTCAATATCTTCAAGCATGACGAAAAAAAGTGTTGGAAAACTTATTATTTAAGTGAATTTTTTTAAGTCCAAGGACCATAGCTCTGCACAAATTCATCAGAAAGGAAATTCAAACTTGATCTGTAGCTTGTCATGATAAAACTATATACCAATTATCAAATCAATATCTTCAAGCATGACGAAAAAAAGTGCGGAAAACTGATTTTCCGGACTGACGGATGGACAGACAGACAGACGGAGTGCAATCCTAAAGTCCCCTTCGACTTCGTCGATAGGGGACTAATAAATTGATTTGGCACTGCATAAAATTTAGGTCAGGATGATTCCTCTTATATCAATATTTCTATGCCCCTGCAACAATCATACCACATCTTCTTTATCTTATATACTTCAGTGAAAAAGGAATTATTTATGTAAGGTAAACATGAACATAGCCAAAATTAGACACACCTGATATAAACCCAGTATAAGTTAATAGGTGTAACCTACTAGGATATAAGTCTAACATATTTACATGTATATCATTTTGTCTTTTTACTAACTGATAAAAATCTCTCTATGGACATGTATGTAGACTTTGGCAGAACCAAGATATCAAATATCCACAAAAAACATAATGTTTTTCTCTATCCATAAAAATTGGTACCCGTGAAAAAAATAAATGAATACAGTAAATGATTCTGGCATCTAAATATCTACTAAATATACAAACCTTTAACAACACCATTTTGAGCTAAAATCATTGATATGTCAAACTTCTCAGCTTTTCTCTGTGAGTTGACATCAAATAAATAAATCTGTTCTCCGCCAAGATTGACCAACAGCTCAGTCCCGTCAGGACTAAATGTCAGATAGGTTGACGCTAAGGTTCTGTATCTTTTCTTGTAGTCTTTCTGTTTTTGAGGAAGGTGGCCTGATAAAACAAAGAATATAATTATTACATATTGAGAAAGTATTTTATCTGTGTGTTACTGTAAATTCTGAAACTTTTGAATGCATATATATTATTGTGATTGTTGAAAATTGGTAAAAAAGGTAAAATTAATTATTGTGATTTCAGGAAATGGTACATAAAAATAATTTTATCAAAATTTATAAAATTTAAATGTAAGTTTTTAATTTTTTTCAAATCTTTCCTGTCGGCACTAAATTTTGTGGATTTCTTAATCAACTTTGAACTTTGATACAGCACAGTGTGTCAAACCCTCCTGCATCTGAAGCAAACACACCACACCTCAAATGCATTTTTAAAGGAGTATTGAGGTAATTTCACTCACCCATAAAGGTCAACCCACTTATTTGTTTGATGAGTTCTAACTTCATTTCTTATACATTTGTTTAATTTCATTGCTGTTCAAAGCGCTTAGGGCAAACTACCAAGGCCACAGATAAATAACAGGGAACCTTTTTAATAACACATCCTCCACCATATACACTTGTACAGTAAGGCTTACCTGCTATAAAATAATGAACAGAATCTTGCTGCATTGCAAAATCATCTGGATGATACTGTATCGAATTTGACGGACTATCCCATAAAGTTCTGGAATACAAAAATACAAGTGTTAACTGACACTGGTAAATATACTCTAATTACCTTTCTAATAATTGGCAAATGTATATTTCTTGTTTGTATAATAGAGTATGTCACTATCTATAGATTTGAATAATTTTAAAGTAATCAACAAAATCAATCACATACAGCAGTCAAGGCTATAACTCTATAGGGTTATTAGAGAAAAATAACATACATTTGTTATTGTGGACTAAAAAATCAAAGAACTGTGATAACATATGTATTTTACATGTTTCAAAGGGCCAATATACATCATTTGTTTTGTTAAAATGTATACAAGTTCTATTGATATTATTATTGTCTTTATGTATACTTAACTATAGAAAGATATAACAGTTCATAGTTTGCCAATCATGCATAGTACACCTATGTTATTACAGAAAAAATATGCCTGTAGTAACTGAAGGGTGTTATTACAGCTTCTCTGCATCACTTCAAAGCCTTTGCTCAGACATAAATCATGCTTAATCACAATGTATTTTAATTTATTGTAAGAAATAATGATCAAGGCAATGTAATGAGGTTCTGCGCAAGCTTCCCAGTAATTCCCAAGTGTCTCATATAATAAGTTGCATGCCTATAATAACTAAGCCTTGTTATTACAGCTAAGTTTATCCCTTAAAAGCCTTGTCTCATTGATTTACCATGGTTGATGAAAAATGTATTAATGTAATTCAAAAATTAGTAATCAAGGCTATGTATTTAGTTTCTGTGCAAAGTTTCAAGAATTCCCAAGTGCCCACTAAAAATTAAAATATTTATGATTTATTTAACAAATAACAAACATATGTTACTACAGATTTAGAAAATTTAAGGAATAAAGAGTAGACAACTCATGAAAGTATCTGTAATAACACATGTATGATATTTTCTCTAATAACCCTATAGAGTTATATCCCTGACTGTGCAGTACTACACACAAGGTAATTCAAGCAAAAATGTCTCTTGCTGTTGTTGTATGATTCACTATGAAACAGGGTGGATGCTGGTGATGGTGAATTAAGGTAACAACTCCTATTACAACCTTGTTATATGTATTTCCTATGGATTATACAGTTCAAAGTGAATCATCCACAATCATCAGCTTCCACTTTGAACATTCCCATCCAAGAATCACTACATTGTACTGTACTGATCAAGTGCAATATTTTTGCAAATGCTAAAAGCAAGCTAAGAAGCCGACAACTTGTTGGAGAATTGGATTTGTTTACATTTAAGTATGTACTGGTTGCCAATCCAAACCACATTGACAAAGAGGCAATTGTATCCTGTCGTTATTTAGGAGGCCTCAAGACTACACAGACAATTCTGTGTCAATCTCATATTTACATCAATTTCTGCAATTTCTATTTTGGACATTTTCCTCCACTTTCTTATACACTGCATTTAGAATATGGGTTTATTTTTCTTTAGTCAAATTAAAAAAAAATTGCTAAAAAGTAAAAAAAACAAAATGGCTGACATACCTTCCATTAGTTTCCTCTGGCATTTTCATGGCTTTACAAGATAATTTTCTACGATCATACAGCCGTACATATGGATCGTTAGCTCCTACAGCTATCTGTTCAGGTCTGACTGGGTTTATAGCTATACATTTGGCTTCAGCATTACCACCCATGTGGGCATTCAGATTAATCAGGACATTTTTGGGGTTGGTTTTACTGGTTTCCGGTGTTCGTAAGTCATGTTGCCTACAAAAAGATTAAGGTACTTTTGTACATTAAATCATATGAACATTTGTAAAAAAGAAGCAGGCCTTTCATTAAGAGCCATGATCAATACCTGGTATTTTTACCATTTCAAAACTACCGATTAATTCTATCTTGAAAATTTCATTATAACGTACTGTAAATTCAGAAATTATTGTGAGGTTTTTGTTTATGCTAATAAGGCAACTGGGTGAGTATCGCAAAAATAAGAACTCACATTCTGATATCTGATACATACCGTATATTAACATGCAGATTTTCCTGAAATCGCAATAACTAATCTTGCATTTTTGTCCATTTGTAAAAATCACAATTCAAAATGTACAGTACTCATAGAATTCATAATAAACAAGTACCTCTTATCAAGAAGAAAAATTATTTATCAACATATAAGATCCTGATATTCATCATCCTTTCATTATTTTGAATTATAAATATATCAGATCGCACCATGGTACAAATCAACAGTCAAATATATACCCTTAAGTCGTCTCCCCCTTAATAACTTCCCTCAATAACTTACATGATAGCACCATCTTCAGCAGCACTCCAGAACATAAATGGCACATTAGGAGCTACAGCCAGACGTTTTACTCTGCCACTATGACAACCAAAGTCATGAGTTGTTTCCCCTTGATTGAGATCATGTACATGGATTTTACAATCAGCTGCACCAGACACAAGTATGGAATCATTAGAATTTGGCAGGAACTGAAAAAATAGATTTACATTCAGGAACTTTAATTTTAAAAGATACTTTCATAAATTGGGAAAAAAAAACTCTTGAATAAAGGACATACAAGACTATATAAACTGAAAAAAACACATGCCTTATTAATCCTCAGAAGTTTCACAAAACTGCAAAAATCAAATGCAACAAAAAATTAACTTGTTAACAGTATATTAGTCAACTTTTTAAAACTAAGCACTCATTTTGAAATTTAGCAATTTATCTCCCTAATGCGTAGCTCTGATTCCTCGTCTCGGTTTGGCTATTCTTTTCGTCTTTTTCAATTATATATCAGCTCTTTAAGTTTCTATTAGGCTTTAAATTTTTTAATATTTTCACTTTAAGAATCACTGAAGAGACTTTAATTGTCAAAATGTGCATCTGGTGCAGTAGAATTTGTACCTTTTAATGTTAACAAAAAAACGTATGATTACCTTGACAGAGAAGATATTTCCTTCATGTCTGGTTCGTAATGTTGTCAAACTTTTATGATGAAATGGGTCCCATATAATCACTTGGACATCATCTGAACCACTGGCTAATAACCTGAAGTACAGAAATACTATTTTAGTGACGGCAGATTCCTCATTTAATAACCACGTAATTTATTGCTAAAATGCCTAGCTTTATTTTAAATCAAAACAGTGCCTATTACAGCACACATGTATTATAACAAGTCATTATCGAATCATCGATTATGCATAAAACAAGTCATTGTGAAATTTGTTATTACAAAAATACAAAGCACAATAAAGCCTAATAGTACAAAGACTCAATAAGTTGTAAATTTCTATGTCATTTGTTCTCTGGTGAAGAGTTGTCTCAATGGCAATCATATCATATCATTCTTCTTATTTTACATTAAAATTTTTTGTTATCAAACATTTGATATTAAAGCTCTTTTGTTACCAATAGAAATGATAGAATGACAATACAGAAAATTTCAAAACTAACAACATTTCTTGTGTTTAGTAGGTTAATAAATGTATTAAGTAATAGGTTGTTTTCTTAAAGACCCTGTTATATGTCCTTGGTTAGTAAAAATGGCCTTGGAGGCTGTAATGTCCCTCTAAGCCATTACAAACATCTTCAGACCATTATTACAGACTATGGACATTACGAAAACACTTGTTTATCAATACTATAATAATAATTTCACAGCATGTGTTCTACTGACCACTTACTTAAAGGATATGTTTGAATATGCACATAATTATCATGTTTTCAGTAAAGCAGTTAAGAATTGAATCTAAGTGAGTGGTGATGAACACATTCTGCATTCAATTGTTATATTTACTGTACCATAATATAGTTAATAAATATAACTTATCTAAATAAAATAAATTAAATAATGATCAATAATTACTAATTTTGTTTCCTACTAAAACAGATATTTGAACAAATTTAATAAACTAGGCCATTTAGTTTTCTAAATTTTAATTGTTTCATATTTTTCATGTCAGGGCCATTTATAGCTGACTATACCGTATGGATTTTTCTCATTGTTGAAGGCCATATGGTGGCCTATAATTGCTTACATCCGCTTCCATTGAACTTTTATGGATAGCTGTCTCATTGGCAATCATACTGGTACATCTCCTTATTTTCATATTTGTGACAACACCATGCCATATATGTTAGCGAGTACAAAACTTAGCTTACCAGTTTATAAAAGACAGACCTACTGTAAATATTTAAGGTATGAATAAAGATTTGGGGTATAACTCAATAAGACAGCAACAATTTCTTTTTTAATTCTTGACATATAATTTGGGGTATAAGACAGCTACATTGTTACAACTTTCACTTCTTGATATATAATTATAACCTAAAGCAAGTTATTAAGGCATTATAATGATACTTACCCAATAAATATATTTTTCTTTAAAAAATCACTGTTCATTTTTCATGACACAATTTGTTAACAAAGCATATTTATTAAAATTTATTGAAGGTCAAGATAATGCACTTACGTTCCTTTCTCGTTCCATTCCAAACAATTAACACAACCATGGTGACCCTGGAAATATAAACTTATGAATAAGAAAATGTCTGAGATCATTGACTTTTTAATGATCCTTTGGAAATCTTACAGATCTTCTTAATATATTCAGCAACGTAAAAAAGTCATGTAGATGTACTATATTGAATATAAAGGATCAAATCTTTCAAACTTTCTGAAACACAATCTTGAGTTTGTCCATAGATTTCCGTATCATTCAAAGAACATACTAAAAAACTTCTTACCCATAAGAACATACAGTAAAATAGTCTTACCTCAAGTTCTTTCTCTAACCCCAGTCTATCTATTAACTCTGGAGTAACTTGTAAACTTCTCTCAAATGTTTGTCTACTGACATTCTGAAATGAAAAAGCAAACCAACTACACATAAAAACCACCTATGCATGCTATATATAGGTCAGTATATAGTCTTCAACCATACAAAAGAGCCTATACAATATATCAAGCTCTAAATATACATTTTTTAGTTGACTTATGTCGGATCCAATTTGTGTTTATCAAATGCAAATAAAATATGTTTTAACTAAACTCTGGTCTAAAAATGTAAAATTAAGAAGTCTTCTAACATTGTCTAAATTTTACATTTTTAACATGTACAATACAATATGAAAATGCATTTTATTTCAATATTCATTTCAACCGGACAGAACAAAAAGGTTGAAAAGAAGAAGAAAAAGAAAGAAAAAAAGCTCAAATTAGTTGACGATGTGTGTGGTGATGTTCTTATAAAGCATTTGTATCTAAGCAATAAGGAATCTTTCAGACCCTCTTATAAACACAGCTCCTGTCAGTAAATAGGATTCTGTGTCTGGATCAATTTCCTTATTTGGCCACAAACTCAGTCAGTAAGACTGCCTCGGTGGGTTCCATCCCAGACCGGGTCAAATCAAAGACTTTAAAATTGGTATTTGCTGCTTCTCTGCAAAGCACACAGCATTAAGGAGTAAGAGCAAAGACTGGTCAACTCGGAGTCAGAATAATATGTGTCTGAGTAAGGTGACATGTCTTCCTGCGGACTGTTACCTTGTGAACTAGCACGTTAAAAATCCGACTCAGGGTGTCGGTCTAGTGCAAAGCAGGGAATATGCATATTAATTTCCCGCTGGACATTAAGCAGCTGTCCATCATCATCATCAGTCAGTAAGAGACCAAATCAGAAATTCTCTTCAGACACAGAATCCCAAAAGGGATTATTAATGTCCATGAACATGATGAACAGATGTACGATTTGGTGTATTTGCATATATACATTCATGCAAAATATGTTTAAGTAATTACATTTATTTCCCGGTCTACTTTTCTTTTAAGAAATCCATTTTGGAATGCCATGATCATCTGAAAATGAGAGTCAAAACAAAACAAGGATTTTGCTCCGTTCAAGTGTCCATTATTCCTCGTTCACAAATCAACATCTGTAGCTAGACAATGAAACTATATTAATGTCAACTCTTCAGACTTTATCAAATCGTTCAATATTATTATAATCTCCTGTTTATTTATATTGATCTCCACTTGTCACTCCACAAATCACACTTTGTTGATATTCTGAAAAGTGCAAGTAGTTATAAATTTCATGTTTGATTCTACGAAACGAATTTTGCAAATATAACTTTAAACTGATTGTTAACACTTTTGATAATAAACTATGTTCGGATAAATTTATTTGACTTTAATAGCCATGTTATTTTGCCACAGTTCTGGGGTTTACACTAAGTTACACTATTTAAAATATATAAAGCAGTATGTTTGAAAGCACTATAGTCAGACTATGACCTAACGTGTTTAGTCAAGTTCATTGTATAATATTATACAACGAAGTACTTAGCATTTACCTCGATTCAAATGTTTGTATTCTTTATTATTTTGGTCAAGGATTTGTATAGTACTATACAAATCCTTGTTTTTGGTATTATCAGAGACATATAAAATATTTGTATTGTATTATAGTTATATAAGCCTCTCAGTGGTGTTATGTGAATATTATTAATTTATTTATCATGTTTAATATCCCTTTTCAGTCTTGATTTTAATGAAAGAAACTTTACTTTTTCCTGTAGACATTCTCATGGTTTATAGGACTATGATGATCCTCATAGATGCTTTTTATTACTTACAGTAGTGCTAAATTACTGGACAACTGTTAAAATTTTGGAGAAAGAACGAGTAGTAAATATCAATCTGCATAGACCACCCATTTGAGAATATTAAACTGTAAAAGTTGATAACTCTTTACATATTTTAGATCTATCAAATCTCCCGAATCTATAGTTACTCACAGAAGATTATCCTTAATTCAGCATAAAAAAAATGGCAATTAAGCCATAAGGCTTTATTAGACGGAAGATGTGGTATGAGTGCCAATGAGACAACTCACCATCCAAGTCACAATTTAAAAACTAAACCATTATAGGTCAAAATACGGCCTTCAACACGGAGCCTTGGCTCACACCGAACAGCAAACTATAAAGGGCCCCAAAATGACTAGTATAAAACCATTCAAACAGGAAAACCAACGGTCTAATTAATCTATATAAAAAACGACCAAAAACTTATGAACCACATCAGAAGTTCATTACTAGACCACATCAAAAAACGACAACCACCGAACAACAGGTTCCTGACTTATATATGTTATGATGGTATGGTACTAAACCCTTAACGGGAGGAATTGTGCTTGATTTTCATATGATGAAGACATAATCTTTTAATCAGTTTAATTGAAGTCTGGAGCTGGCATGTCAGTAACTGCTAGTAGTCCTTTGTTAATTTATGTATCATTGTCATTTTGCTTAGTTTCTTTTGTTACCTATTCTTACATCGGACTCGGACTTCTTTTAAACTGAGTTTTACTGTGCGTATTGCTGTGTGTTTGTTTATTCTACATTGGCTAGAGGTATAGGGGGGTTGAGATCTCACAAAACATGTTTAACCCCGTCGAATTTTTGCGCCTGTCTCAAGTCAGGAGCCTCTGGCCTTTGTTAGTCTTGTGTGTTTTTTAATTTTAGTTCATTTATATGTTTTGGAGTTTAGTATGACGTCCAATTTTACTGAACTAGTACACATTTTTATTTAGGGGCCAGCTGAAGCCCGCCTCCGGGTGCGGGATTTTCTCGCTGTGTTGAAGACTCATTGGTGGCCTTCGGCTGTTGTCTGCACTTTGGTCGGGTTGTTGTCTCTTTGACATATTCCCCATTTCCATTCTCAATTTTATTAGGACAGGTGCAAGCAAATGCAGCTGGTTTATATATCATATATATATCGAAAACCAGTATATCAGTTTTACACTATCAGTTTCTAAAGTACTATCACTCTTATCAATGTCACAATCACTATATGATAACCGTAAGTAGTGTTTTTTTATAATAATGATTAACAAAAGAAAGAAATAAGTCATTTACGAAGACATTAAAAAGAAAGGGTACAAGAACTAACCCTAAGGGCTTGTGGTACCTTTTAACATCATCCTGATTCCAGGCACTGTGAGAACTATCAATTTTGTTTGTTCTTGATAACTTTGTAACAATTCCAGCAGTAATTTTGTATAGGCCTTAGTTAATTAATTATATCATGAATTCATGCTGTAAATAATCCATTGCAGCTTCGGGCAGATAAAATTACGACAAAGAATTTGTTGTCATCCAGAACTGTTTTCAATCTTCTTTTGCCTTTAAAAGTGCTGTTTGGCACTCAAAACCAACGTTTATTAAAAAAGAATTAATGTATAGCTCATTTGGAAATTTGATATGAATTGAATGCGCTTCTCCATATATAAGAGTGGCGTGCCACTTCGGGCTTCCGTCTCCGTAAATCAACAACTCTCATCGACACATGTACATATAAAGGAAATTAAAAATAGTTGATTTCTAATTTTATATCTCATTTTTATGAAATAAAAAAATAGTTCTCCAAACTTGATCGAATTGTCATTTTACTGTCATAACATTAAATCAAGTTGTATTGTGCATCATCAAAATTTGAACAAATTGGACATGATGTATGCTACAGTGACTTATCATTTGATCGAATTATTCGAATTGTTGTAATTATTTCCATCACCTCTAGACTTTTGGGCATCTGCGAATGTAGGACAACACAGACACAGCTTCTTATCTAGAATGTTACATGTACAAATTAACAGTGAATTTCGACTGAGATGAAAACTTTGCTATTAAAAAATATGGTATTGTGATTTAATTTCCAACTGTGAAATGTGCATGTGGCGCTGGAAAGTGTTAATATACATGTATATGGAAATTTAACATGAACACAATTTATTCAATTTAACTGTTATTTGCTTTAACCTAGCTTTCAGTAAAAGAGAGGTGGAAGATATCAAAGGGATATTTAAACTCATAAATCGATGACAAACTGACAAGGCCATGGAAAAAAACGAAAAACGACCAAAAGACTAACAACAGTATACAAATCACAACTCAATACTGGTAAACTAAACAATAAGCAACACGATCCCCATCAAAAACCGGGATGATCTCAGTAACTGTGAGTATATACTATAAGATCGGTAGTTTGTGTCATTTGTCTTTATGTTAGGTGTTTATGTGCTTCGTACTGATCTGGAGAGTCAACTGAGCAATTTTCACTTTTAACATTCAGTTTGAACTTGTGCTGTACTGTTACACCATTGTTTCATATTATAAAGGAGAAGGCGCTCACAAACATGTTTAAATAACCCAACAATATTCTTTATATTTTATGTCTGTCCTAAGCAAAGTGCTCGTAATCATGCAGTGGCTGCCGTCATATCTGATTTTCGTTTATTGCTTTGTTATAAATCAGGCTGTTGTTTTTTGTTTTCGTTTGAGTTGTTTCACATTTGTCATGTCAAGGCCGTATATAGCTGACTTTACGGTATACGTTTTGCTCATTGTTGAAGGCCGTACGGCGATCTCTAATTGCTGAAATTTAATTTTGGGTCGAACTCAGATACTCCGGGAAGAAAAGAAGTTTCTGCTCCACACGTGGCCCGCTCAAACAAGTATAAATCTGGTGATTAGATAAAAGGTGAAGATTCTTATCGTATTTGGGAATTTCAGGTACAAAATAGTTATATAATACCTTGTCTTTGCGACTTGAAATGTGTTATAAGAATAAAATGATATTTGGGTTATAAGTCAACGAAACAGCTACCCAAAGAAAAAAAAATAATCAAAAGACATCACAAGAGCAACGTATACAGTCTTTACAATATATGTAAATCTCTATATGAGCTATAATCTTTTGGAATTTACAGTAACTGAAGACAAACTCCTAGTAAAAAATGTATGTAGATATCATGTCGCCCTATGCACTCTTTACATGGTATCGGCGACTGTACCGTAGAATGAACGTATGTCACAAAAATTGTTGAAAGACACAATCTTTGCGAGCTTGCAAACACCAAAAGCAAAGAATTTTTGTACAGAAATAAAAGAATAATTGTGTTTCATAACCTCCTCACATATTAATGTATCTATACATCCTTGATCGTCTCAGTCCTGCATGGTGAAGCCGTATAAAATCCAGTAAAAGACTTTGGACGAACCTATTTTATATAGTGTTATTTATTATACGAAACATGTGGCTTGTAGATGTTGTAAATGGTCTCCCAAATACTGGGAATAAAAAATCAGAAAATTACAACTTTATTAAAAATCTCATATTACGCAAAAAAGGAGAGAGAAATAAGATAATTAATGCAGTATGTATTTATAATTGAAAGTTCTGAGTGAGATTTGGCGCTATATATGGACCGTGACCAAAAATTCAACATTATATGTATACTTACCAATGCAGACAACTATCGGCCATCAAATTCGGACTGAATGGCGTGGATTTTTTCTCGCCTACTGAAGAGTAACATACAATTTCAGAAAAATGGTATGTAGCCAATAAAAAATCACGATCCATCCAAGAGAAAACTTAACTCGTGCACGAAATACAGACTACAATAGTTCAGTTGTAAGGGAAAAAAATTCAAATCACAGCAAACTTAGGATTTTTTATTCCGAGTGACGGTTGTTTAACATCACATTACAAAGACAGTTGGAATAACGAAAGTAATTAAAATAAACGGGTTTTCTGTCGAATTTAAACTAAAATTCTGTTCAATTGACATGTTTATAATTCGACTAAATTGCAACAACTCATCTCTTTCTAAGTTTTAAAGACATTTAAGTTCTTGTTAGATTTTTCATTGGATTATTGGGATATCATTTAGTGTTACTGAGCAGCAGAATGTTATAACATTTTTTTCGTCATAAAACTTAAGGATGTTCGCTAGCTCCTCTGTTTCACCGACCGTGCGAGGGTTGTATAGCTAGTCAAGGTCGTTAAAAACCCCCATCATCATCACCTCTGTTTCAAAATAACAAGCTTTTGTAAAGACTGTTTAAAATTGATAGTAAATGAATAAAGGAACTTAAAGAGCAGAAAAAAATGAAAAGTCCTTGTCCTTGGTTTTGAGATATAACCAATTGAAAATTTGGCGGGAAATGATTTCCTCTAGATTTTTCATACATTTACCATTAACACCTTGTTTCTTTCAAAATCTATGAAAAAATAACTAGGATTTTTTTAAGATTTTCAAAAATGGCTTTTTTAAACTATATGTAATAAAATTATGAAAATAAAAGTAGTGGTATGCGGGCAAAATTTGTATTGGCTTTACATGGGTAGAACTAGACAGGGATTTTCTATATGTTAGTTTAGAAAGTCCCTGAACTAGACGATTCCGAATATCGGAGAAAAAGTCAAAAACAAGAGTAGCAAACATCCTTAATATATTGAAAAAATAACATAACCAATATAAAATTATCTGCTTGGCCAAATATTATGCATTTGTTGTATTATTATAATTCAGTGATTCAAAAACAAAAGCAAATATATTAAATCAACAGTTCCAAAAAGCAGTCACACTTGTAACAGATGACCCAATACCAGATAAGGGCGTCAGTAAACATCCACAGATGCCTGAAATGAAACTACAAAAACAGGGCATAGAAAAATTTCTAAACAACATCAATATTAACAAAGCTACTGGGCCTGATCTCATCCATGGCAAAATATTGAAAGAGTGCAAGACATCTATCACTCCTATCTTGTCAATCATATTTCAAATATCACTGAACTCCGGAAAGATTCCAGATGACTGGCGTCACGCAAGTGTATGTCCAGCATTCGAAAAAGGCGACAAACACGATCCTATAAACTATCGCCCTATATCATTAAAATGCATCTTCTGCAAACTATTAGAACATGTTGTAGCTAGTAACATCATGAAACATCTAGAAAAAAATAAAATTTTATATGATTTACAACATGATTTTCGATCATCCCGTTCCTGTGAAACTCAGTTAATATCATTTATTCAAGATCTTGCAAATTCAAATAATAAAATCATTCAAACAGACATCATAATAGTGGATTTTGCAAAAGCATTTTACAAAGTTTTACACCATCGCCTCATGTATAAAATCGGTTTCTTTGGTATAAATTGCAATGCACTACTGTAACATTGGATTGAACAAACTGAACACAAACAGAAGTCCTTGAAGATGAAACATCCAACAAAATTCCTGTAACATCTGGAGTACTACAAGGCACAGTGCTTGGACCAATTTTATTTTTGATATTTATAAATGATTTGGCAGAATATATTGAATATAGTACATTAAGATTGTTCGCAGATGACAGCATTATTCATAAGGAAATTAAGAAACCAGATGACACATATATAAATTACAGTCTGTCTTGGAAGCGGCTGGCAGATGGGAGCAGGACTGGCTCATGCATTTTCACCCGGATAAATGCAACATTCTCAGTGTAACACAAAAACGAAAACTTTTAGACTTCACTGGCTTACAAATTATATAATCACTCTATCGAAAAAGTTGACTCTACAAAATATTTAGGCCTAACTATACAATCAAACTTAAGATGGGATATACATATCGATAACATAACATCAAAAGCAAACCAGTCTCTTGGATTTATTCGCAGAAACCTTAAAATAGCCTCACCTAAAGTTAAAGCTCATGCATTTAAAGCTCTTGTCCGACTAAAATTAGAGTACTGCTCAACCATTTGGGATCCACATCAAAAACAGCAAATATCACAAATTGAAAAAGTTCAGAGAAGAGCGGCCCGCTTTACATGCAACCGCTTCCATAACACCAGCTCAGTAACTGAAATGATGATAGACCTTATTTAGCACCCATGCACTTGAAATTATGCTTTTAAGATACAGACTTGTTTTCTTCTATAAATTATACACGAAATTTTTACAGTACCTACAATTAATTTAACCTTATGATCCCACTAGACAATAGAACCAGACATAGCAATCCACACTCATTTAGACAAATACAAACATCTATTTAAAAGACAGTTATAAATATTCATTTTATCCACGTACAGTCAAAGATTGGAATCATTTGCCACAACAAATAGTTTCATGCAGTACAGTACAGAGATTCAAGAGTATGATCTTAGAATCTGCTCTAATCCCTATTTTCTACCCTTAATTATATATAACTATTTTGTTATCAAATGTATATAGTTTTATCTAAATGTTATTTTTGAATTGTACATGTTCGGTGTGAGCCAAGGCTCCGTGTTGAAGACCTACTTTGACCTATAATGGTTTACTTTTATAAATTATGTCTTGGATGGAGAGTGTCTCATTGGCACTCATAACACATCTTCTTATATCTATATATATTTTGATTTTTGATTTTGTTTCTTTTTCCTGGTTACGTTGTAAATCATGATTTTTTTTAAAGTCGACGCCCGGCGAATAATTTTCAATAAATGAAGGATCGCTACACTTAAAGAAGAAGAAGACAGTAAATTCGTTTCGCACATAATTCCGCATAAAAAGTCGCAAAAGTCTTGTTATCTTTTCTATGTTCCTTTAAAAAGTATTATATTAATAAGAATACACACAAGTATAAAACTTCTTGTCTAATTAATTTAATAATTCGGTTAGACTCCAGTAATACAGCTTTAACTAAAAAAAAAACCACTACGACATCTGTATTAACCTGTTTATGGCAAACATATAAAAAGTTTTGTTTTTTTTGTTTTTTTTACAATCAGGTACACAAGTGAATATCTAGACAAACTCGCTATGTTAATTGATGAAATTTAGAAAGAGGCCTGTAGCATCTTATTTTCGGAATATGCTTGAGCCTTCGACCTAAGCGGTATCCATCGTTTTGCACGTTAAGCAAGCACATTTTTTTCACTGACAACAATCCAATAATCGTTTTGATATGAGTGGCTCTAAAACATCATAGTCAAATCTGATTTGTGACCTTTGGGGGTTTTGCAATGTCTTTTAGAGTTTCCCCTGGAACAATTTCTTTTTCACCACCTTTGACAAAACAATATTTTTTGGTATCATGATACACGGTAGGTCTTTTCACCACCGAACACATTAAAATACCATCTTAGGCATCTAACACACCTAAATATATTGTTTTCATCTTTATTTATATATTTGACTTACCTTCTGAACAAGGATGAATATGTTTATACATATATATACATAAATTAAATTATAAGAAATGATAACAAGAGAACCAAAAAGAACAGTCTTGCAGGGCTGTAGTCAGAACAGTACACTTTCAAGTCTTACATTTTTTTAAATACAATTATTGTGATAATTTCACATTAAATAAAGTGTTTTAACTTGCCATGCTTACTTGAACAATTTATTTCTAATAATTGAAAAGTAAAGACCATAAGATAATATACAATGAAATACAATGTATTAAAATCCGGAAAAAATATTGCTGGATCCGGAAGCGTTTTTTTTTTAATTTTGATTCTCAACTTTAACATCATTAATGCACATAAAAATGTGAAAAACATGACAATAGGATTAGATTTTACGTAATTTAATCGATTTTATTGTTTTATTGTGTAACATTACTGTTTTTCTTAAAGGTTAGTGGTCTTTTTGGGTGTTCGGTGGTGAAAAGACCGACCCCCATGATACATAATCTCCGGATAGTATAATCGCAAAAAACTGAATATTGAATACTGAATATTTTATATGGTTTTATACTGCTTTTATACACTTCAGAAATAATTTTGACTTGCATTTGTGTGTCTTGAATTTTTTGAAACTCTCTATTTGTATTTGCTAACTTACATGTATACACATATTTTTGTTTAAAACTTTTTTCCATTCTGCTTACCAAAAAAATGCAATTTGCAGCATTGTTGTCCCCATCATGATAATTGTACAAATAAATCTAACTAATTTTATGTTTTAAAAACTTTTGTTCCCAGTCTTATTAAAGACTTGATTGTTTTTATGCAAATAAAAAAAAACTGTCAAAAAGAAAATTCAAAATATTTTTTAACAATTCATGTGATTTAAAAGAGCCAACTTCAGCATGTTCAGCCTGACACAATCCATCAAAACATAAATATAAGTAGAAAGCCACCATTTGCAATTGGATTTTTCTACGTCTGTTTGATTTCATATTGTAGGTTAAAAATTATGTTCAAACTTGTTTTTACCTGTACAAGAATGATTTTTTAGTGGATCAAATCAGTCAACCAAATAGTTCATCCTGGTTTCACTTTCAATGTTGACATTCTTTATCTTTAATAGCTGAATACATGTGTAATCCATCTCCAGCTAAGGGATTAAATTGATGGTCACATGAATATGGGTTCAATGAGGTCAAATTATTCACTTGCAAGTTAATAATTTATCATCGATATTTTTTTGCTTATTTTAACAAAATTGAACCAAACTGGCTGTTATAAGCTAATTATTATTTCATTTAACTTTCATTAATGATTGAACAAAAAGAAATCATAGTTTGTTTTTTTCTATATCTCAAAGCCGATGCCACGTTTACAAAATGAAACTCCTTCTGTTCTATATGTCGTTAACTGCAGATTTAAGATAGGAGATTTGAATTTGTTGTTGTTTAAGTGTCCCAGTGAGATAAAAGCAGCAGCCTACAATACATTGTAGTGTTAGATCTTTTGTTTGTTTCACATTTTCCATATCGTATAGGTATGCATGAGATGAATATTTTTTTCCAATTTTATATACTGGGTATTTTTTTTCAGGATGATGGGAGGAGATAGCACTGCAGCAAAAGCTAGATCTGTTACAGAGAAATTCCAGTTTGGACCATGGCGATGTACGTCTATAAAGTCACACATTCTGAAATCTGAAGGTCCAGACCGAGAGAGGTAATGATGAAAAGATGGCCATAAATTACACAAACCTGTAGTACACTAAAAAAAAATTGAGTGATTCACTGTGAAACTCGCCACAACATAGAATGTTTGAGCTGACATGGCATTAAACTGCAATCAATCAATCAATCAGTCAGTGTAAAACATGATGAATGCTGCAAAATTTGGATTGATTGATTGATTGTTAATCTTTAACACCATTTTCCATCTTTGCCAGTTTTTATTGGTGAAGGTAGTCAAAGTACCTGGAGAGAACTACCAACCTTGGTCAAGAAAACTGACTAGATCCTAGTCAATTAAGATTGAAGTCTATTGCATCATGTGCTAATTAAAGGTGATAAACTTGTTATATTTTACATATTTGGGATATACTCAAGAGATATTTTAAAATGACTCACTCATATCGATTTTCCTCAGGTTAATATGCTGTATTATTTGGAAATCCAACTCATATAGAAAACCTACTAAAATAATAGCAATTAGAAATTAACTTTTTAACATTTTGTACCTTAAAAGAGTTGGGAGGAATTTTGTAAAATGAGCAACAAACAGATACCAATAGCTATCTATTTTATATTTTATTTTTAAAATTAAGTAGACCAGGATATAAGTTATCAATTGAAATGTTTCGATCGACACAATTTAAGCAAGAGTTCCTTCCCATTAGTTGCCATGTTGGAGGTTTAAGTCCTTCATAAATCAGACAAATGCAACTTGTTATACTGACCGCTAGTCTTTCTGAACAATTTAAATTTCTTGTAGCCTTCCTTGATTCATATAAATCAAATCAAATCAAATAATTTTATCGGTGTAAATTCCAATACAGGAATGATACCAGCTGACATTTACAAAATACAAATACAAAAATAGACAAAAATAAACAAAAACAAATATACAGAGACATATTTTCTCAATGATAAGAGACACATATTTTATATCTACATTGCGTGGAGGTGTTATTCATACTATATTATTAATTCAAGCTATTACAATATGATCTATTAATGATCTTTTTTCAGAGCTGTTTATACATGTTATACTGCATGTTTCAATTGGGTTAGTCAAATATAAAGATTATCATATTGAAACGTAACTATATGCAATGTGTTCAAACTAACTCATTTATAGATTCAGTTCTGAGTGAGTCTCTTTAATTCATTTTAGATTCGAGAGTCAATTGGAGCTCCCGCAAGTCCCTGAGATGGTGTTTGCTGATAACTTACTACGTTTAGAACATTCGGCAGGATTTGGTTTGGAGTTCAATGCCCTTGATGCTCTTAAACTAGTGGACCCTCGAAATGATTTACTCAAAGTGGCTGTTTCTGATGCTTGGAGACAGGCTAGGTTTGTTATTATTAAGTTTATCTTTGCTTTTATAGAAAAGTGTTTACTAGATGGTTAAAAAGGTAACATAAGAAGGACGTTTCAAATTGATGATTAGAACTTTACCTTGATGTTTTATTCCTTTCTTTTCTTATTGTCTATTGAACTGTAAACCAATTAAATTTTCCCTAGTAATCTATTTTTATGTCTTTTGTAATTAGAAAATGATTTTAAGATAATTCTGGGCAAATATGTCAAACTTTGAATTTTTCTTAATTAGTATATATTAACAAAAAAGAAAATCACAAAAAGTATACATTCGCAAACGACACAAAGTAAATGTATAGACATGATAGAGAGGGCTTATCACTTAAATAAGTATTCCCCTTATTAGTAGGATTATAGTACTTGATTGATTTTAGTTCTGTTACTTTCTTTGGAAAATATTATGTATGTTGCTGTACAATATAAGTCTTCATTTACTTTACAAATAATAATAAAAGTACATGTACAAACATCGAAAAAATAAGTCTTGGCAAGTGCTAGTAATTGTGGTTAATTTGATTTAAAATGTCTTTTTGTGTATTTTATACTGTGAATTCATCACTATTTGCGGGATACCAATGTTAGTAGATTTCGTGGGTATATGTGAATCATGAATTCAAATGACCAATGAATTACAAATTTTCCAAAGTCTAATCTGCAAACTTTGGCAAAACCATGAAAGAAAATATGAAAGAAAATACAAATTTCCTTTAATCCATGAAAATTGGTATACTTGAAAATGAATGAATTTACAGTATTTGCTCTCACCTGCCAACAGAACGGCCTATCACAAGTAGGTAACATGTAAAAATATTTTTTTTACACCAGGGTCAAAAGTTGGTACCAGTAATATGAAAATAGTCTATCTGATCTTCTAATCATCAGTTAGGAATGACACAGACATTAACAATGATTAAAAAAAGGAAATATGTTGTAAAAAATTATTTCAGCGACAGATTGGTATCAACCAATGTATTTGAGCTGTTTGATGTTGACAATATTAATGTGACTGGATTCATTACTTTTCAGGTCAGACTGTGAACATATCAAAGATGTAATAAAACCATTTGATTGGACATACACAACAGATTATAAAGGCTCATTGTTTGGTACAAATGAAATTCAGTTGAAGGTAAAAAAAAATGTAATGAAAAAATCTACATTTTATTTAATTTCATGGCTAAGTTTTTCTCTTGGTAGTTGTCATATGAATCACATTGTTAAATTGAGTTTAATTCTATAAAGAATCCTACCCATGTTTGTTGTTGACTTGTAAACAAAACATTGATAGGCTAACAGAATAAGGAATTTATTTGTACAGTATTGGCATTGTTGATGTACTAGTAATGTAGACAAGTAACTAAACTATATATAAAACTGAGGTCTCGATTAAATGTGAAAACTTCACAGAAATTTCAACGTTAATCCTCCATGGAAATAGGATGAAATTTTTACTTGCCAACCATTTGTATTTTTATGTAATTGCTGCGTTAGATCACTACTCAGATTTCGAATGGGGATATTCATTGTGCTGATGAAACCAAAGAGGTTTAAGTGGAGGTAAATTAGAATTGGGTAGAATATCAATTTTTGCACTCCATGTTTAAAAGTACCTGTTGACATTTTTCATTTAAAGGTAGAGCCTACAACAGAGAGAATAGATTTAGAGAAACTTAAAAAAAGAGATAAAATTATGTTCTATGAAGACATGTTATTATTTGAAGATGAGTTGGCTGACAATGGCACCTCTGAATTAAATGTTAAAATTGTAAGTATATCAGTATCATTGTTATTGTAACAAGACTTATGCGTATGATATTTATTTCTCACAATGATATTTTGTTTTATAGTATATTGCATTTCTATTTTTCAAATAAAACTTAGGAAATTTCTCAATAGATGAGGTAGCTTTACTCTTGATTGTATTCAGGGGCGGATTCAGGCGGGGGTGTGGCGGGTGTGCGCCCCCCTAAAATTTGCAAAGCATGGGTTGTCCTCAGCTTAATAAAGAATATTTCGATAATTTTACCTCAAAAATATTTAAGTTTACGCCCCCCCCCCCCCCCTAACCTAAAATCTTGGATCCGCCCCTGGTATGTTCATAAATGTAGAATGGCTGAGTCTGTTCCAGAATTAAATGCATCGGGAGCATGGAAAGCACTCTTTTAAGACCCTGATCACCCATAAAAATATTCATTTTACATATATATGTTTCTTACAAAATTTTAAAGAAAATGCAACCATCAATATTTAATTAATTTAAGTGCCTCCTGTCCCCTCCCACCCCAAAAATTTAGAACAGCCCAGGTTAATAAATATGTACAAATGTATTATAAGTATCTCTAACCTGTGCTTCAATGGGTTACTATCTTGTTATGTTGGAAGTTTTTTACTCTATATTTGTAAATGCCAATTTTATGTTGTATATTTTTTTTTTTTTTTTTATAAATAATTATTTCAAATAGATATTCAATATTCAAATGTCTAAATGTTTCTTCCTGAACATGCATGAAGAATTTGCCACTGGACATTAAACAACTAACAATCAGTCAATCCAAATGTTATTCATGCATACAAAGGATACTGTGGATTCATTGTTATTCGTACGTTGGATACCACATATTGTTGGTTTGGTGGCTACTTAAGGAAGTTTGCTCCTCTTGTTTTTGAATTTTTGCCACATATTCAGAATCCTCTGGTTTTATCCATGTAGTGTCATTAAAAACATTTCCCCGCCAACCCCTACTTTTCTTTTTATAATTTTATTATAAATAGTTTAAAAAGCCATATATGAAAATCCTATAAAATCTTTGTTATTTTTTCATAATTTTTGAAAGAAAGGGTGCCAATGTTAAATGTAAGAAAAGTCCAGAGAGAATTATTTCCTGCCAAATTTTCAATGGCTTATAGCTCTAAAACAAGCACACAAACCTACATTTTTTTCTGCTTTTTCAGTTCCTTTATTTATATACTATCAATTAATAATAGTCTTTTAAAAAGTTAGTTATTTTGAAACAGAGTAGCGAACATCCTTAAATGCAATTTTTCCTCAATCCTCAAAAATTAATACTAACAATAATAAATGATTCCAGAGGAACAGGAATTACCAATGAAACTGGGTAGTAAAACAAACAAGAAAACTGAAGTACAAAAACAGACAAATAGTGACCAACGACGTGCAGCCAGAAATAATCTCTTGGATTATATTTATGTTAATGTATTTTTGTTAAAGAATTATGCCTTCCAGTTTTTTCATTCAGTTAAATCTGGGGTTATAAATGTATATATATTTATTTTGTAGAGAATTATGCCGTCCAGTTTTTTCATTTTGTTACGATTGTTTATGAGAGTAGATGGTGTAATGATTCGTGTGAACGAGACCAGAATTTATCATGAGGTATAAGTTTCTATAATTTTGTATATACCAGTATACAATTTAGTAATTACACAATGCATATCAAAATTGTCAGCAGTTTTATTTCAACCTGGTATTTTGGGCTTTTTGTCATTGTGTAAATTTATAACAAAATTAAATTTCCAATAAGGATAATATTCAGTAAAATATATACATATTTCCAAAATAGACGGAATATTTTGCAAAATGCATGTTTACTGTATAGATAATATATTAAGGTATTACTTATTCTAATGAAACTTTGACATCACCAGTTACTTGTATTACAACTGAAGAAAAATAACTAGCATATTACATTTTAAGAACTTTTGATTAAGAACTAGAGTTATGGGACTTTAGTCATGAAGTATAAACATTACTTCAAGTGGCAAGCAGTTAATTCAGACCTGAATTTAAATTTTTTGTACTTCATATAGTGTACTGTTTTCTTCGCTTTTGAACTCTGATGGGTCCGTCATACTCTTCAACTTCATACTTTATTTGGACTTTTTTACTTTCGTGATTCCAGTCTAATGAGTCTATTGTGGACAAAAAGGGCATTTTTTAATCCTGGTATCTATGAATAGTTTATTCACACATGTTATTGAATTTGTTCATAGTAATATTTATAAGACATTTCTGAATTTTAAATTACTCATGATTAACATCAAATCTCAAAAGAAAGTGGTTTTAGCAGGGCCTAATCTAGGATTTTGAAGAGGGAGAAATGACTTCTCTTTCCATGAGAGAGAAGGGAGAAGTGGTCAACCCTTTGGAGAAGTGAGATTCCATTACCGTTTCGGTTGCATCGTGTTTTCAAGCTTATCACTAAGGAAATTGTTTTATATTCAATAAAAGATGTCCTTGCAGTTTTTTCATATGTTATTGTACACAATGTATATATAGAAAGTTCTTAATAAAAAGGTTTAGACAATATATAGTTGTTATTTATTTATTGATACCATAATGTGTTCTAAATAAAATTTGTTGATTGGGACATGAGGGAGTAGCCTAGTAATATTATCAAGATTAAGATGCATTAAATTCATGTGCATCTGCCTCAATTTGTTTTTAAAACTCCAGAAAAATATGATGAATTTCACATGACTGGGAATTTAATTTATATCACCACTTGTCATTGTTTTGTAAAACATTATTGAATGTCCAGGACATTTATGTTAGTTGTAGTAAATTGAGATTATCGTTAAAGATTGTAAGTCTATAAATGAAAATATCTTTATTCTCAAGTTAATTATCCGATAAAGAGCTAATTTCTATCATTTTAAAAAAAATATCATCCATATCAACGAAGTGGTCATGAGAATAAATCCACTGCTGATCACAATCTGGTCGAGTGTCGTACGTTTGCAATCACATTATCCATCAGCTGTCTTTCTACCTTTTATATTTCAATTTTTATTCAATGAATATAATAAATCTACCGTTAATTCCCACCCTTTCTTACCGAATAGTAAAATTGATCGACTCGTGTAGGTAATAAAAATAAAACAAATCAGCTGAGTGATTACGCAACATCCTGAGATGAAAATCATCGTAAAACGATAACTTAAACAGACGGTCAGTTTTCCGTTTGAACAGTTTTGAAAGTTATATCCGAGGATGTTCAAAGTCGCCGTTGTATTTATTTAATTTGAACGTTTACAGTATTAGTCCTGGGTCGTTTCGAAAATCTCGATTTTCCTTGTCAGCCGCCATTTTTTTACCTGTGAGACTTGTCAATCACAAGTTGTCTCCCTTTTACCGATTTTGATAGCGATTTGACTTCGCTATGAAGTCAGTCGGCCGGCGAGATTTAGCAATTTTCAAAATTCTTTGGCAACTTAAATCGTCATTTCGCCGGCAAGATTATGGCCTGGGTTTTAGAAATTGTTGTTTACCATATTTGTTGGAGAACTTTTTGTTCACCATATTTTTGAGAACATTTGGATCACCGTTTTTGTTTCTTACATTACAGGTTGATCAAGATTACATTTTAAGAGAATATTCCAGTAGAGATAATCAGATTAAAGATTTAAAGGTAAATTATAGTGTTACAGGTTGCTCCCAAGCCATTATTTACTTATGATACCTAACCTGTTGATTAGGTGATAGTATATTTGCCTAGAGTGAGGAGTTACTGGGTCTGATCCCTAGCTTAGTCAAACTTAAGTCTTTGATATTAAAATGCTAATAGATAATTTTCAAACAAAGGCAAATAAAGGGTGTTTGTATAAAACACAACAGCAACCCAACAATATGTACATTCTCATTCAGTCCCTTTTTTGGATGAAAACTGTCATTATGAATATTGATATGTAGAGATTTAGGAAAACAGTCAGTTCACAGATAAACTGCCTCTGTGATCCTGTGGTAGTGTGTTTGCCTCAAGTGAGGGAGGTCATGGGTTCAAATCCTGGTGATTCAAACCAAAACTTTAAAATTAGTATTTGCTGCTTCTCTGCTAAGTATGTGTCATTAAGGAGTAAGAGCAAGGACTGGTCAGCTCTGAGTCGAAATAATGTGTCTGGGTAGAGTGACATGTCTTTCTGTGGACTGTTACCTTGTGTACAAGCATGTTAAAAAAATCCTGCATTGTCTCGGTCAAGTACAATAGGGTTATTCATATTTCATTAACATGTTCTCATCCTGAATATGAATTTAGGTTGACCCTGAAATATTTGCCATTAGATCTATAATAAGCAATTAACAATCAATCAGTTTATATATTTATTTCAGGTTTCACCTCATCTATTGACAGAACCTAATGAAATTGTGAAGCATTTGACAATAAGAAAAGAAGAATTTCATAAACTCATATTTCCTGTGATAAATAATCTAAGTGACTTTACAAAGCAATCTTTATCGCCTGATAGACAGGATCCATCTCAGTCTACAGTAACAAAATCACAGAATACAAATAACACAACATCTGGTGGCAGTGGTGAGAGTTGAAGACAGGATGGACCTATAAATCTAACAGTGCTTATTTGATGCTTAATTAAAATGTGATTTCATAAAATCTTATTTGTTCTTATAAAACAAAACTATAATCAGCTGTCATACAGGTGGAAGGTTAAGCTAACTATTAAACCAGGTTTAACCGTACATTTTACTCGGAAAATGTCTGTAGGCTGCACCATGTTAGGAATATGGCAGTTGTTTTTCACTTGTGCGGTTGATTGATATCGTCAATTGATGACGACTTTGATGTTTACATTGACAACAGCACATGGGCTCTTAGTTTCACTCTACTTTGCTGAGAAAGGAAATTATCAGTCATTAAGGTCAAGTGAAAATTTGGTAGAATAGCAATAATCCAACATCCCTATTACATAATAAACCTTTTAATACATTTTTAAATGACCACTTAATTGTAATTATGATTTTGATTAAGTGTAAATTTTACATACTATAAAATAACATAGCAAAATCAATAACTAATGGAAACAGTAACATGTCAGGATCTTTTCTCTATCTATTTAGGGGGCCTCGGTGGCCAAGTGGTCTAAGTAGTTACTGTAAATTCAGAAATTATTGCGAGGTTTTTATTAATGCGAATAATGCGACTGTATGAGTATCGCAATAATAAAAACTCGCATTCTGATAACTTAAACATAGATCTGTATGCAGATTTTCGAAATCGCAATAATTAAACTCGCATTTTTGTCTATTCTTGAAAAATCGCAATAATAAATGCACGCAATAATTTCTGAATTTACAGTACTACTGTAATCACTAGCCAGTCAACACTGAGGTTGTGAGTTCGAACCCTGCTCATGTGGGTGCACTCGACACCAATCTTAATTGACTAGGATTGTCAGTTTTCCTATCGAATGTCGGTGGTTTTCTCCGGGCACTCCGGCTTCCTCCACCAATAAAAACTGGCCGCCACGAAATAGCCCAAAAGCGGTGCTTAAAAGTGGCGTTAAAACACCAAAAATCAAAATCAAATCTATCTATTCATCAGACAAATCCAGCCTAGATGAAGGGCTCAGAATGAAATCTTTTTAATTTTGTATGTTTTTAAAAAAAAGTTTTTTTCCAGTCCATCTCTAAAAATCAAGGTAACATTGTAAAACTATGTTTGAAACTGGTGCGCTTTAAAATTAATATTGCATAGGTCCATCTTCAAAACACTTATTTTTGTAAACATAGTAAAAACAACTAATTTAAGGGGGTAGACCTTGTTTCAGGGAGATAACTCTTTAAATTATCAGTATGTTTGTGTCAACCATTTTCATAAATATTAATCTTCTAGGTTACACAGATTATTTCCAATCTCTTTCAGGAAAAAGTTAAAATACATTGATGAAACTTGACATTTACAACCTCATGAATGATTTAAAGAGTTATCTCCCTGTACAAAGGTCTACTCCCTTAAGTGACCTGTAAAGCCATTAAATACACAATTTAATTAAACCATCCAATTATCACCTATAATGGGTTTATTCTTTGAATAATTACATCATTTGATCTGCTGAAAAAAGGGTGCCACGACATTATACAGTTAAAAATGTTTGCATTCAAGGAATAGTGTCTGGTTAACATTAAGTGTAGTCAAAACAAACAGTAATTATAATTTGTGTAGGTAAGCTTAGCCTTCTAATGAAAATTCAAGGAAATCTTACCATTCTTCTGTTTGTTTGAAATGAGGAAATAATTGTTTTGGAGAGATTGATAAAAAAGATTGAGCTTAGAAACAAGATCAGGGGCGGGTCCAGGTGAGGGCGTAATGGGGGGTACCCCACCCCCCCACCTTTTAAAAAAAAAAAAAAAAACACTATCGTGACCTGCTAATATTGTATTGAATATTGAGAGTCCGTCAGTATTTCTGTGTTCATTTTAGGTTTTTCGTTACGGTACATTTATACTAGTAACATGTTTATTTGGTATAGCATTTTTACTTCCCATCTGGGTAGCCTTTGGTAGTATCATATTATCCATTACTGAGTAACTAAGTGACATTGACCTACATTTTGCCATGAAGTTCAAGCTCCATATTTATTTATGTACCATATACCACCTATCAGAACTAGACTAGGACTATTAAAATGTTAAGTAACGCCTTATACCCTAGAATTTGGAATTTCTCGTTATTGGTCTATTGCTTTTAAGATCCTTCCAATCATTTTAATAGCCTATACCATCTACAATTAATGGAGAGAATTCGGCATAAAAAATGTCAAACCCTGACACCTTGACTATAAAATATATGTGCTCCAAGTCTGGAACCATTACATGTTTATGTTTTTTAGCAAAAAAAAAAGGTCCAAAAATTTGTTCGCTGAAATATCATAGAAACGCCCCTGAAGTTTGCTTTTAGTCTTCTTCCAACAGACACAAAAACTGAAGTCAAGTGTCCTTTTGAGTTCCCTGTGCTTGAAGACTCCTTTAAACATCTCTTTGAGGGCACAGGACCCATATTAAATAATGATAATATTGGTCTTCTTCCAACGTACACTAAAACCCTTTCCAAAGTCAGGTGTCCTTTTGAGCTCCCTGTGCTTGAAGACTCCTTGCAACAACTCTTTGAGGGGGCTGTATTACACCATAATAATATTGCAAAATACCAATTTTATGTATTGTTGATATATTCTCGTCCTGAATTTACATGTAATATTTGCCACTGGACTTTAAGTAACCAACAATCAATCATTAACATGATAGATATCTTAGTCTTTAACAAAGTATAGTACATAAAATACAATACTTTAGCAGTCAGAGATATAACTCTATAGGGTTATTACAGAAAATAACTTGCGTGTGTTATTACAGATACTTTCATGAGTTGTCTACTCTTTATTCCTTAAATTTTCTGAATCTGTAATAACATATGTTTGTTATTTGTAAAATAAATCAAAAATATTTTAATTTATAGTGGGCTCTAGGGAACTCTAGAGACTTTGCGCAGAAACTAAATGCATAGCCTTGATAACTAATTTTTTAATTAAAATAATACATTTTTGATTAACCATGGTAAATCAATGAGACGAGGCTTTTAAGGGATAAACTAAGCTGTAATAACAAGGCTTAGTTATTAAAGGAATGTAACTTATTATATGAGACACTTGGGAATTACTGGGAAGCTTGCGCAGAACCTTATTACATGCTCTGGTCATTATTTCTTACATTAAATTAAAATACATTGTAATTAAGCATGATTTATGTCAGAGCAAATGCTTTGGAGTGATATAGAGAAACTGTGATAACACCCTTTAGTTATTCCAGGCATATTTTTTCTGTAATAAGATAGGTGTACTAAGCAAGATTGGCAAACTATGAACTGTTATATCTTTCTATAGTTAAGTATACATAAAGACAATAGTAATATCAATAGAACTTGTATACATTTTCACTAAACTAATGATGTATATTGTCCCTTTGAAACATGTAACATACATATGTTATCACAGTTCTTTGATTTTTTAGTCCACAATAACAAATGTATGTTATTTTTCTGTAATAACCCTATAGAGTTAGGGGACGACCATTTGATATTCTGGGGGGGGCCAGGAGGATTTGTTTTTGATCGGTTATTTATTTTTGTAAACTAAGAGGACAGATTATCTATTTTCTGCACTGTTGAAGCAAGATTTTTCATTTTCATTAAAGCAAGGGACTGATTATTTATTTTCACAACTATATTTATAATATTTGAAAACATACAATTTTTAAATTCATTTTTTATTATAAATTATACATGAATAGTCCAATCATAATGTACCATTTAATCAGAATTAATCATCATCATCTGTAGAAATGAATCTTCTGAATTCCCAACTGCATATACATGTATTGCATACATACAAGATATTAAAGATTGGCTGTAATTAGCGTCTTTTAAGTATTCCAATTGATTTATGCCGAGCGGAGCGAGGCTAAAAAAAATTTGAAGGGTTTTGGAGCCGCTGAAGTCCCCAAGTTGCTATAGAACTAATTATGCAAAATGTGTTTCCCATACCCTTTATTAATCTGAAAATGAAGGTTCTGTTTTAATAATTTTTTGACAAATTTTGGTCTCAAAGCAACATGTATAGATTCAGTGTAAGACTTAAGTTTTTAGGAACAACATCAAAAGACAAAGATAAAGCAAAAATTTAATTCACATAGTTAAGTATGTGGCTGCTGTTTTTTTTAAACTCTTGATCAAGTTAATAACAAAATTACTAAATTACAAAAGGAATGCAACACTAACAGAATACAGAAGGCAATCAATGAACAAAAGACAAATAAATAAGAAACATTGATCCCCAAAAAACAGGAGCTACGTCTGAGGGAGAACAGAACTTGCTTCTTGCCGCAAAAACAATTTGATATGAAGACAAGCTTTTGGTTTTGAAATTTCCTACATGAGGCATTTGCCTGAATGTAGTTACTGCCATATGTAATAAAAGTGAGTTAAGTGTTCCTGAGACAATATACCTCAAGTTAAATGAAACCCATTTTTCAGACATTTCAAGTATTTTAAATAATATTTATACTTTTATTATTCAAAGATTTGGGAAGTGATTCCCGATTTTTTTTTGAAAAAAAAGTTGAATTTTAGGAAGAATCTGGTGCAATCTCATGCTCTCAAATAGACCTGCCGAGTTATTTATTTTTAATACATTGCAAGTCAGGTTATTTATTTTCAAACTACCACAGAACAAACCATTTATTTTTGTGATTATCAAGGCTGAGTTATTTATTTTCAAAATCCTCCTGGCCCCCCCCCAGAATATCAAATGGTCGTCCCCTTATATCCCTGACTGTTTAGGGGGAAAAAAGAGTATTGGTAAATACAGAAGAGTAGATATTTATAAGGTTCTGTTCTATCTAGGTCAGTGGCCTCGGTGGCCAAGTGGTCTAAGCCACTGAGTAACTACTGTAATCGATAGCCAGTCAACACTGAGGTTGTCAGTTCGAACCCCGCTCGTGTGGGTGCACTCGACTCATATCTTAATTGACTAGGGTTGTCAGTTTCCCTATTGAAGGTCGGTGGTTTCCTCCACTAATAAAAACTGGCCGCCACGAAATAGCCCAAAAGTGGCGTTAAAACACCAACAATCAATCAATCAATCTATCTAGGTCAGACATTAAAACTAAAACGAATTTCAGAAAATACAAGAACTTGTAGTAGTGACGACTTTGTTTTACATATATTCAAGGGACATTGTCACTTGCTATCATTTCGATTCACTCCTATTTGTCTTCAAAAAAGATTTCAATTATATAGTGTAAAATCAATATAAAATTTTATCTATGAACTGGTGTAAGTGTATTCTATTTTTTTTGGGTGCAAAATGATACACGGTTTTCTAAGACCTAGTGGCATAAACAAATTATTGGTGCAAATGAGTTGTGGCACATACGGTCTCATTTTTACGTTAACAGATGTCGCCCCTAATAATCATGTAAACATGCAAGCCCAAAGATATACATAACTATAGGGGGAAAAGTACCAAAATACCAAAGCCCATGTCAGAATCACTTACAATTTAAGCACACATATATTTAATATTTACAAAATGAATGGTCATAATTCACAAATATTACATTTTTGTCTGCGACAAAAGTTACGGGAAGCGAGACATAGGGATTGCTAATCAGGTGACGGTGACGGCTGCGGTGGTGGCGTCAACAATTGTAAGTTTTCTGCTTAAGTTAGTTTGATACGAATTACGATAGATCATTGATATCTAATACAAAGTTGCATTACTATCAGTATATATCAGCAAGACAACTATTTCTAGCAGTGGCGGATCTAGAAAACTTTATAAGAGGGGGCCTGCTGACTGCCTAAGAGGGGGGGGGGGGGGCACTCTATTCATATTTCAGTGATTCCCTGTATATTGCACCTAAATTATCCGACCTTAAATCCGCCTCTGTTTAGGCCCCTAAGTCATGCTCCAGCAACGTTGAACTAGCAATTTGCAATGTTAAGTTTTCTGCTTAAGTAAGTTTGATAGGAACTACTTTTGATAAATTATTGATATTTAATATGAAGTTGCATTAATACTATCAGTACATATCAGTTTGATGAATATTTTGAGGCTCTGGCCCCTAGGACATGGTCTAGTGACTTTGGAATGATAAGCAATTTGCAATGTTAAGTTTTCTGATTAAGTTAGTTTGATAGGAACTACTTGTGATAAATCATTGATATTAAATATGAAGTTGCATTAATACTATCAGTACATATCAGTTTGATGAATATTTTGAGGCTCTTGCCCCTAGGACATTGTCTTGTGACTTTGAATTTATAAGCAATTTTCAATGTTAAGTTTTCTGCTTGAGCTAGATTGACAGGATCTACTTGTGATAGATCAATTACATTTGGTATGAAGTTGCATTACTTTCAATGCACATCAGTGTGACAACTATTTTGAGGTTCTGCTCCCTAGGACATGGTTCAGTGACTCAATTAATTAGCAATTTTAAGTTTTCTGCTAAAGTAAAGTTAGTTGATGTGAACTTCTTGTCACAGACCAAATATTTTTTCTGTAAAGTTGCAATATTATCAGTTTGACGACTAGTTTGAGGCCCTGCCCCTTAGACCATGGTCAAGTTACTTACAATCAATTAACAATTGTCCATGTTAAATTTTCTGCTTAAGTTAATTTGATACAGAAGGAACTTCTAACAATAGACAATAGTTTCTTTAAGTTACATCGTCGTTTGTACATACCTGTTTGTTAAACATTTCGAAGTCCTTCCCACTAGCTGGTCTACCCATGTAACGATTTTGAATTAATAATAAATTAGCAATGTTGCTGTCCGTCAGAGACATATGTACACATGTTAAAATTGAGAATGACCAAAAAACATTATCTAGAGCAAAATTTTGAAAATATTTTCCGTATATTACTGATAAATGGACTTAGTTTTTTTTACAGTTAACACGTAGTATTGGGTATTGTGAAAAGGTAAAAATTATCATGTACTTTTATAATATCACTTATTTCCATTAAAAAATTTAAAAAAATCAGAACAGATTGGTACAATCAGGAAAATGAAATGAAAACAAAAAATAAGTGAAACATAAACAAGGATTTGTATTGTAAGACTATACAAATCCTAGAACAAAATAATGAAATCATTAGTTGCATTTATAGATTTTTTTAAATTACCTAAATAAACTATTATTTAAATAAACTGTTGACACAGAGTTATGTCTCGGCTGTCGGAATAACATTCAGAAAAAGACTGATATTAAGGTATATATAGGTTTTTTTTTCTGAGACAAGTGCCTGTGCAGAAAAGAAACAAAAGAAACAAAATGACAATGATATGTTTATACAAATTAAGTATTTCGTTATCTCGTAAGTACTACATTAAAATCTAGTGTCTAGTATTTACAAAAAAAAAAATAATAATAGGGGTAACAAATCCAATGACTTTTTTTCCATATCGGCTCATTACATGTTAGATCATTTCAACAAATAATTGTTTCAACTATGTGTAGATTTTTTATGTCTTCGTTCATGCGTTTTCAAGTATTTCGTTGTTCCGAAGCTTTTATGACAAATAGTACACTTGTATGGCTTTTCTCCAGTATGTGTAAAAATGTGTGCTTCTAAGGAATGTGTAGTCACGAAAGCTTCATCACATAAATGACACTTGTGACGTTTATTTCCATGATCACCAGAATGAGCTCTTTCGTGTTTTCGTAAGCCAGGTCTGGAAATAAACTCCTTTTGACAAAAAGAACAAAAGTATGACTTCCTGTATTCCTCATGAGTTTTCATGTGATTCTTCAAACATTTGGGTGACTTGAGACCTCTACCACATATTGAACAAATATATGGGTTTTGTCCATTGTGACCGATTACATGGGTTTCCAAGACACTCGCCTTTGTAAATTCCTTATTGCAAACTTTGCAGATATGTCGCTCTTTGTTGTGGGTCTTCTCGTGTTTAAGCATAATTTGCTTTCTACCGAAATCTTTGCCACAAACTGAACACTTATAAGGCTTGGCTCCTTTGTGTATAACATCGATGTGGATTTTCAAGGTCGTTCTCGCGCTGAACGATTTATCACACACTGTACAGAAATAATAAGGTATATCGCCAGTGTAGATACGTTTGTGCATGTTTAAGTCCGTTCTACACTTGAATGTTTTATTGCATAGTGAACACGAGAAAGGTCTCTCACCGGAATGTGTTCTCATGACGTGGATTGTTAAATCATATCTTCCTCTAAAATCTTTCTCACAAGTTGAACATGTATATGTTTTCAAATCTCCACTATGTACCCTTTCGTGTAATCTTAAACTTGACGACTTTTTATATCTTTTTCCACAAAGAGTACACACAAAAGGCTTTTCGTCGCCATACAGTTTTAGGTGTTTTTGTAAATATAAAGTTTTTTGGACGCCTTTATGTATCACGGTACCAAAGGCAGGTTTATGAACATGAATTTGTTCGTGTCGTCTCAGATGGCTCTTGTCGATAAAGTCTTTTCCGCATACAGAACAACTAAATGGCTTTTCGCCACTGTGTATCTTTTTGTGGCTCGCCAATGTGTCTCTACTTTTAAAAAGTTTACTGCAAATATCGCATGGAAATGGTTTTAAATCTGAATGTGTAGCTTTATGCCTTATGTAGCAAGACTTGCGAAGGAATTCTTTTTTACAAATAGAACACTGATAGAATTTCTCCCCCGTATGTATTCGTCGATGTTCGATCATGTTCGATGATGCAGCGAATGTTTTATTGCACACGGGACAAGTTTTCCGCTCACCAGTATGTATTAGTTGATGACGGAACAAATTCGACTTATTCAGAAATTGTTTAAAACATACCTGACAAGAATGCGGTTTTATACCCATGTGTGTTTTTTCATGCTGTCTTAATTGTGATGGGGCCTGAAATTCTTTATCACAAATAGAACATCTATTTCTCTTCTGAGTTTTCGATGTTTTGTATAGGCTTTCCTTTTTACTCGAGATTTCTCCGTCGGTTAAACTACTTTCCTTTTTACTCGAGACTTCTCCGTCGGTTAAATTACTTTCCTTTTTACTCGAGGCATCTCCGTCGATTCCATTGCTTTCATTTTTACTCGAGACTTCTCCGTCGGATTCCTTGCTTTCGTCTCTCTTTGACAATTTGTCCTTTTCCATTTCGTCGCTTTTATGCGCTGTTATCTCTTCATTCGTCATTCCTTTACACTACTTGATATTTCAATTGCCGAATTTTCTTCCTCTGCTTGTCTTCATTCGTTATTAATCGTTTTTATTTCTCCAATATTTTCAGATGTGTCCTCATTTCGCTTTTTTATTTCATGAAATATTTCACCCTCACTTTCGGTATTATTTTCCATCAATTCACTACTTCTTCTTATATATCTCCTGTTCTAAGTGATCCTTGTTTCAATTGTTTGTAATTTTGTTCCCAACTATACTTGACTATAGTAATATCTGCTATTTTATTTCATTGTTCTTGTGCTGTATTCTTCTTTCAATTCATGCATGGCATGATCATGATGATCAACCTGTGAATTTATTGAAATAATATTATATTAAAAAAATATATTTTATCATATTGTTGTAAAAAAAACCAGACTCAAGCTAGCGACCAATTCTAGCGACCAATCAAGCTAGCGACCAATTCTAGCGACCACTAAAGAACACAATGAGAATCAACTTGTCTAAGAATCATTATGTGGTATATGAGAAAACTACAAAACCACATTATGAAACAACGTTCTGTTAAAAAGAAAATCTATCTACCAGTACGGTATATATATTGTTTTTTAACGTTTAAACGACCAGAAATGTCCATCAAATTAAGGGAGAAGGGACACTACAATACGAATGACGTCTGTAGCTGAATGCACTAACTAGTTTGGTTGCTAAATGGCTGCATCAATATCAATGAGTAAAATATAACGTGCCAAAAAAACGTAAAAGTCAAAACAATTTAATACAATAGAAAAACAAAGGATATGGGGTATCCCTCCATGACACAAAATCAGTAAATGCACAGCGAAAAACACACAAAAAGCTAAGGAACATTCTTTGTTAACGAACTATTTTTATTCCCCTACATTCGAACACATACTATATGTTATCATATATGTATTTATATAAATAAAGGTGCGCCCCTCTCCGGAGTTTATTCTATCGGGAGAAGGACTAGTTGGGAAATAAAGTAATCCATATTTTGACGTCTTCTTTACGTTTTCTCTGTTTTCCAAACTCTAAACCGAGATCGCAAAGATAAATTAATTATTGTAAACAAAATATTAAAAACGGAGCGTATATCCTTCAAGCACATAATGGCTATACAATAGTACTTTGCGGTTTAGAAATCAGAATAAAAAGCTAAAGAGTTTTTAGAATTTGAATAATAAAAAAAAAAAAAAAACAAGAGTGTTTGTTTATGATGATTTGCTCGCAAAATCGTTTTCAATATTCAGTGAACCGTAAATAATTTAAAAAGTACATATTTTAATGAACATGTGTACCTAGTTTCAAGTTGATCTGACTACAACGTCATCTTAGACTAGATTCAACACAAACGTCATTCTAATGATGTATGAATGGACGGACAAACGGACAAACGAATTAACGAACGAACACAAAAACCAGATAATATTATGGGTTTTACTGTCGTAGGCGGAGCATAGAATAACTATTCACTTAAACTTGTTCCTTTGTTCAAATAAAAGAAATAAGGAAAATATTATGTGCGAAAGAATAACTATATACTGGCTTTCCATACACTCGGCATCCTCAAATATCCTTTATTTTCTAGAAAAGGAACTTTTAATGTCTATTCCCTATACTGAAAATGAAAACATACAAAATAACAAACTGTAAGAGTACATTTCATGCCCACAAACAATATTTTGAATTGAAAGTTTACGTGCACTATTTTGTACGGCATGCATCCTTACTTAAAAGAAATGTAAAGATTTTTTTGTTTAAAAAAAAACCCGTACACTTTGAATTTCAACTTTGAACCCCTTCAATTCCCAGAAGGTCCTAACCCTCAAAAAATCATTTCAGTGGGTCCTGCTCTGATTCATTACCTTTCATTTGAGCTATGTCCGATGTCGAACTTTGCCGTACGGAGCTGGCGAGACTTGCCGAAAGAATGTACGGTGGACATGTAAAAAAAAAAATAATACCAACTTTGAACCCCTTCAATTCCCAGAAGGTCCTAACCCCCAAAAAATCATTTCAGTGGGTCCTGCTCTGATTCATTACCTTTCATTTGAGCTATGTCCGATGTCGAACTTTGCCGTACGGAGCTGGCGAGACTTGCCGAAAGAATGTACGGTGGACATGTAAAAAAAATAATAATACCAACTTTGAACCCCTTCAATTCCCAGAAGGTCCTAACCCCCAAAAAATCATTTCAGTGGGTCCTGCTCTGATTCATTACCTTTCATTTGAGCTATGTCCGATGTCGAACTTTGCCGTACGGAGCTGGCGAGACTTGCCGAAAGAATGTACGGTGGACATGTAAAAAAAAAAATAATACCAACTTTGAACCCCTTCAATTCCCAGAAGGTAATAACCCCCAAAAAATCATTTCAGTGGGTCCTGCTCTGATTCATTACCTTTCATTTGAGCTATGTCCGATGTCGAACTTTGCCGTACGGAGCTGGCGAGACTTGCCGAAAGAATGTACGGTGGACATGTAAAAAAAAAAATAATACCAACTTTGAACCCCTTCAATTCCCAGAAGGTCCTAACCCCCAAAAAATCATTTCAGTGGGTCCTGCTCTGATTCATTACCTTTCATTTGAGCTATGTCCAATGTCGAACTTTGCCGTACGGAGCTGGCGAGACTTGCCGAAAGAATGTACGGTGGACATGTAAAAAAAAAAATAATACCAACTTTGAACCCCTTCAATTCCCAGAAGGTCCTAACCCCCAAAAAATCATTTCAGTGGGTCCTGCTCTGATTCATTACCTTTCATTTGAGCTATGTCCGATGTCGAACTTTGCCGTACGGAGCTGGCGAGACTTGCCGAAAGAATGTACGGTGGACATGTAAAAAAAAAAATAATACCAACTTTGAACCCCTTCAATTCCCAGAAGGTCCTAACCCCCAAAAAATCATTTCAGTGGGTCCTGCTCTGATTCATTACCTTTCATTTGAGCTATGTCCGATGTCGAACTTTGCCGTACGGAGCTGGCGAGACTTGCCGAAAGAATGTACGGTGGACATGTAAAAAAAAAAATAATACCAACTTTGAACCCCTTCAATTCCCAGAAGGTCCTAACCCCCAAAAAATCATTTCAGTGGGTCCTGCTCTGATTCATTACCTTTCATTTGAGCTATGTCCGATGTCGAACTTTGCCGTACGGAGCTGGCGAGACTTGCCGAAAGAATGTACGGTGGACATGAAAAAAAAAAAATAATACCAACTTTGAACCCCTTCAATTCCCAGAAGGTCCTAACCCCCAAAAAATCATTTCAGTGGGTCCTGCTCTGATTCATTACCTTTCATTTGAGCTATGTCCGATGTCGAACTTTGCCGTACGGAGCTGGCGAGACTTGCCGAAAGAATGTACGGTGGACATGTAAAAAAAAAAATAATACCAACTTTGAACCCCTTCAATTCCCAGAAGGTCCTAACCCCCAAAAAATCATTTCAGTGGGTCCTGCTCTGATTCATTACCTTTCATTTGAGCTATGTCCGATGTCGAACTTTGCCGTACGGAGCTGGCGAGACTTGCCGAAAGAATGTACGGTGGACATGTAAAAAAAAAAATAATACCAACTTTGAACCCCTTCAATTCCCAGAAGGTCCTAACCCCCAAAAAATCATTTCAGTGGGTCCTGCTCTGATTCATTACCTTTCATTTGAGCTATGTCCGATGTCGAACTTTGCCGTACGGAGCTGGCGAGACTTGCCGAAAGAATGTACGGTGGACATGTAAAAAAAATAATAATACCAACTTTGAACCCCTTCAATTCCCAGAAGGTCCTAACCCCCAAAAAATCATTTCAGTGGGTCCTGCTCTGATTCATTACCTTTCATTTGAGCTATGTCCGATGTCGAACTTTGCCGTACGGAGCTGGCGAGACTTGCCGAAAGAATGTACGGTGGACATGTAAAAAAAAAAATAATACCAACTTTGAACCCCTTCAATTCCCAGAAGGTCCTAACCCCCAAAAAATCATTTCAGTGGGTCCTGCTCTGATTCATTACCTTTCATTTGAGCTATGTCCGATGTCGAACTTTGCCGTACGGAGCTGGCGAGACTTGCCGAAAGAATGTACGGTGGACATGTAAAAAAAAAATAATACCAACTTTGAACCCCTTCAATTCCCAGAAGGTCCTAACCCCCAAAAAATCATTTCAGTGGGTCCTGCTCTGATTCATTACCTTTCATTTGAGCTATGTCCGATGTCGAACTTTGCCGTACGGAGCTGGCGAGACTTGCCGAAAGAATGTACGGTGGACATGTAAAAAAAAAAATAATACCAACTTTGAACCCCTTCAATTCCCAGAAGGTCCTAACCCCCAAAAAATCATTTCAGTGGGTCCTGCTCTGATTCATTACCTTTCATTTGAGCTATGTCCGATGTCGAACTTTGCCGTACGGAGCTGGCGAGACTTGCCGAAAGAATGTACGGTGGACATGTAAAAAAAAAAATAATACCAACTTTGAACCCCTTCAATTCCCAGAAGGTCCTAACCCCCAAAAAATCATTTCAGTGGGTCCTGCTCTGATTCATTACCTTTCATTTGAGCTATGTCCGATGTCGAACTTTGCCGTACGGAGCTGGCGAGACTTGCCGAAAGAATGTACGGTGGACATGTAAAAAAAAAAATAATACCAACTTTGAACCCCTTCAATTCCCAGAAGGTCCTAACCCCCAAAAAATCATTTCAGTGGGTCCTGCTCTGATTCATTACCTTTCATTTGAGCTATGTCCGATGTCGAACTTTGCCGTACGGAGCTGGCGAGACTTGCCGAAAGAATGTACGGTGGACATGTAAAAAAAAAATAATACCAACTTTGAACCCCTTCAATTCCCAGAAGGTCCTAACCCCCAAAAAATCATTTCAGTGGGTCCTGCTCTGATTCATTACCTTTCATTTGAGCTATGTCCGATGTCGAACTTTGCCGTACGGAGCTGGCGAGACTTGCCGAAAGAATGTACGGTGGACATGTAAAAAAAAAAATAATACCAACTTTGAACCCCTTCAATTCCCAGAAGGTCCTAACCCCCAAAAAATCATTTCAGTGGGTCCTGCTCTGATTCATTACCTTTCATTTGAGCTATGTCCGATGTCGAACTTTGCCGTACGGAGCTGGCGAGACTTGCCGAAAGAATGTACGGTGGACATGTAAAAAAAAAAATAATACCAACTTTGAACCCCTTCAATTCCCAGAAGGTCCTAACCCCCAAAAAATCATTTCAGTGGGTCCTGCTCTGATTCATTACCTTTCATTTGAGCTATGTCCGATGTC